CAGATAACAATGCACAAAAAGGGATGTTAATTTCTGGTATTAAAAAATACTTTTCAAGCACAATGTCTATAAATAATTAATTGGAATTTTTAAAAAACTGAGGGATATAGCCAGACGTACATCAAAGTTGTCTTTGTGTGCAACAATTAACTTAGTTGTAAAATTCTCTTACCACTCATTCACACTGGAAGCGGATCCGCGTTCGCAAAGCGGTTGCGAACGCGGTTGTATAAAGATCCAGTACAATTGCACGCGCACTCGATGACATCAAGTTCGCGTTCAATTATACTGGATCTTTGTACAACTGCGTTCGCAATCGCTTTGCGAACGCGGATCCGCTTCCAGTGTGAATGAGCGGTAACTCTGAGAGAAAACCAATGCTGATATGGGAATGGTGTCCAGCATTTCCATAAGAATTTTCAATTTTAGAAAGAGCCTATGTAGGTTTATCGCCATAGAGAACATATAATTGCATTATGTTTACAACAGGTTGATTCAATTTTCTGATGACCCCTCAGTGGTGGAAGGAAGCTTTTTCATCCACCAATTCTGGCCGAAGAACCCGGTTACTCAGAATAGTCACAAGTACAAGTCATGCACATACCCTATATCGTGCCACCACATCTTAATTTAAATAAAATTCTCGGTTGAATGCCATTGTCACTGAAAGCAAACTTACACAATAAATCAATGTAGAAGGAACATTACAAGGACGATGTAATTTAACACTTGAGACTGTGGTGCAGAAAAGAAAAAAAAAAACTTTCAGTCGACATGATTAGCTACCACCAGCTCGCCTGCGCACTTAGTATGCAAAATTGTGATTTGGAGCAATTTTTGGAACACTTGAAAACCTTTTGTTTTCAAGTGTTCTAAGTGGCCCTTTTGTCTTGAAGCACATAAATTTGAAATTTGGAACCCCTTTGAGCAGATAAATATTACTTTCCAATGCACTTTTGAGGTTACAGTTATGAAATCATATGATCACCTAAATTTGGTTGTCTGCAACAACATGTTTTACTGTTTTTTTTTGTTGTTTTTTTTCATTTGCACTGAACTTGGGTGCACTAAAAATAATAACTTAGTGAGCTTTTTTTTTTTTTTTCTCGAAATTCGCTTTATTTTAAAAGTTAGAGGCATATTGAAGTTACAAAAACAAGCAAAAAAAAACATCTTCGTGACGTGACGTCCTTGGTCCTCTGTCCACCTTTTCCGGCGCCCGTGGCCCGCGGTGACTGAGGGATGTCGGGAGGGAGGGGAAGACGGGGAAAGGAGGTGAGGCCGGGGGGACAGAGCTGCCCGGGAACGGCTCTGTCTCCTCGGCTGACCAGGACCAACAACGTCACGATTTCGTCACATGCCAAGCGCGCTTGACCAACACCTCCTAGAAGAGAAGGGCATAGCGCTCCGAGTGGTTACGTCACAATGTCGGAGAAGGAAGGACATGGCGCAACTACGTAAAAAAATATCGGGAATCCACATGAAAAAAAAAAAAAAAAAAACATCTTGTCAAGCAGAGCGGTTGTGTTTATTTATTTATTTATTTATTTCAATACCCTCAGGGCCCGGGGGCATTACAGAGGGGGTGGACGTAAAATATTGGCACTGCATAAAATTTAAACGAGGCAACTTGGTTAAAAATGTTAGTACGGCATAATACTAGCAAAAGTGAGTAGTTAGAGCTTTTCTAAATAAATCTATTGATGGAATAGTTACTAATGATGCGGGAAGGTGGTTCCATTCAGATGACGTTCTAGGGATGAAAGAGTTGATGTAAGCAGAAGTTTCGCAATGAGGTATGCCAACTTTAAGTTTGTGATCAATGCGGGGAGAAATGAAGGGGGGGCTAATGAATAGTTTGTTTTTCCGTGAAGCGTTGGAATGACAGATTTTATGGAAGAGGCATAGACGAGATATTTTACGACGTGACGAAAGAAGAGCGTGCGTGTTTATCCGACATTATGTTCTAAAAGAGCAGACTTGTACAATTTAATATATATATATATATATATATATATATATATATATATATATATATATATAGTATAAGCGTAATATGCAACGAGCTACCAAGGTTGAAAGTACCAATTTTATATTTATGATTATACCCGTAACCGCGGGACTACGTGCAGTCCCGCAGCTCCCCACACTTTTCGAGTGAACCGGTCTGGTGCTACATTTTTTTCCCCTGTACGGGCTTCAATTCTGGTAAATTTACCTTGCGTGTGAGCTGCTGACTGTCTATAAAGGAACGCTCAGAAGGGCAGGGAATTGAAAAAAATCCAGTCATCACCGCAGGGAGCGCACGCGAGCAAGAGATGGGTCGACAACGTTAATTAAGCCTCCTAAACTGCTGCCGCTGCCCTCGTGTATGGCTTTTTGGTCCTCCCCGTCGTTTGTTTGTCGTCACAGCAGTCTCGGTTTTTTTTGGTTTTTTTTTTTTTTTTTGCTTGATATTACGGCATTTACGTGAATTCGCGGAACAAGTCCTGCTACGGTTTCAGTGACATCTGTGGCAACTAGCCAACGATGACACTGGTCGATTATCGATAGAGAAAGATACTTTTTGGAGTTCGTCTTCAAATCTTTTCGTGCCAGATGTTGTGGGACGTATGGATACGATCGACAGGTGAGAAACAACTTATTTACGGGCTTTCTTGGTCATGTGGGACGCAAATAAAATGCTACAGTCAGACTTTTTTTTTTTTTCGTGATAGATTGGAATTTTGTTCTTTGTTATCCGTGTGCAGTTGCGTCGACATTTATAAGTATGCGTGGTAATATTCAAGTTTTCACTGGAAGGTGAATAACAAGTTTGTGTGATTATACGAAGTGCGTTGTTTATGCTTATGTGTTTATTTATACTAATGTTATTTAATTGCCTTTACCTCGTTTATACTAGAATCTTAACTATATTAAGGTAATAGTATTATTGTACACAAAATAACTTATATTTTGTTTTAAACCAGCTCGAGCACATAGGGAGAAGTAAATTAGTTGACTGTAAATAGTAAATTTAGTACCCCTGCCACACGGAAAAGTTGATATATTTTCGTTAAATGATATGAGATTTAATCAGCTCGCGGTCTTGAGTGATTATACGAGCGTCGAAAGCTGACTTGTCGACCCTATAATGTCATTCGATCGAAACCACATTACTTTTATCATGTGGCCGAGGTATGACGCAAGAATTCAGTGACTGCACGCGATGTGGACAACGCGGACAGCCATGTCCGCGTTGACTATGTCTACCCGATTTTTAACCATTTTGTTCTTAGCCCGAGACTGAGGCAGGAAAAGAGGAAAGTTGAAACTTTCCCTCTTTTCCTGCCTCAGTCTCGGGCTAAGAACAAAATGGTTAACATCCACCAGCTCGCCTGCGCAATCACTACATTATTACCGATTTTTAACTGTGATCTGTTTTGCTGTGTCCAATCGCTGCGTTTCTCGCCATTTTGTCGAATTATTTCTGTTCAAAATAAGCATTCCTACAGCAATAATTGCGTGACTCAAAGTTTTCGACTCAAAACAATCACATTTTTCTAAAGACGTCTTTTATGCATACCTCGTGCTATTTCGTACCGATTATTTAGCGGTGTAATGTTTTGCCCGTGTAGTAAAATGTTTTCTAGACACGATGCTATGTGCAGCTTTCATTTTAGCTAATAAGACACGCACATGTGACTAAAAGTGCGTTACGAAGGTCGATCCACGCGCGTTGCCTCCGCTTCGACGCGCGCCCCCGATGGCCTTCCTTTGCGACGTCAGGAGAAGAGCGCTACAAGTGCTACGGCCTTCTCTTTTGGGAGGTGCTGGCTCGACACTACGGGGCGCCACTGTAGGAGGAGGAGGTTTCCGCAAAAAAAAGGTAGACGCTTAAGTAGGATTGCAGGTCCCTTTTTAGTTACTTTTTAAATTTGCTTACCTCCTAGTTTGTCTCTTTGCTGTAGGCAGTATAAGTTATTTTATAATGTTCGTCTCCACAGGCTGAACAACGAAAACGTTATCTTTCATAGAAACTCAATGTGAGGGATTACTATGCTCCGTGTCACTAGTTGTGTGCAGTGCAGGCGAAGGCAACGTTAGGTAGAGAGAAAGAGTGAGCACTAGGAAAACAGGACGGGAGGTTAGGTAGGAGAGCACAAGGAACGTTAGAAAAGAGAAGGTTTTCTTCCTTCTTCTTAGCCTTCCGAGTGCTTGCCCTTTCTCCCCTCACCTGGCGTTGCCTTCGCATGTACTGCACGCAACTAGTGACACAAAGTATAAACATATCTTGCGCATATAAAAAAGTTGACATAACTGTTGATGCAGCTTACCGAGCATTGTTTATTTTGAACACAAAGAACCTACCAAAGCTTTTCGTTTCTCTGCCAACTCAGTCATGTTCTTGGAAAAGCTTGCGTTTGCCTCGGAGAGCACCTGCCCCAGATGACAGTACAGCAAAGTGAAGGGTGTCCTTCACTTTGCTGCGGCTCAGGTTGTGCGCGGCTAGGATAGGTGGCGCAAGTCGCCGACTAATTTGGCCAGCCACGTGATTCGGCACGATATGGTGGATCTTTATTAGGATGGGGCAGGAAATTGCCTCTGGTGCAGGACTGGAATCCCTGCCTATATATCCAGTCTAGATCTTAGCATACACAGGCCACAAAATTATTGGTTACATAAACTCAACAGCTGCTGTATTTTGGCTGATATATCCATAGATATGCCAACTATATAAGTGCAGAAACTCATCCACTACAAATCTTGAAGCATAATCTCGCAATGTAGATGTCGCACAACCTCAAATTAATGATCAAAACGAACGCGTTGACTGGTGCTATGGAACATGGTCAGCTTCGAGAATGAGGCACTCCATTTTTATCGATATCTTCTCATTAGTATGATATCTCTTCTACAATAATACTCGAATAGAACAGCATGCGTCTCATAGGGGACTAGCGTGGGCAACAGCGCCCCAAGGAATGGGTACGTTACAACAAATTCCCAGAAGACCTAGAAACACCATGGAAGAGCCTTTATTCTCATTAAAACTAAGGCCAGACAAACTCTCAACTTTTTATACATATGCAACAGAACCATGGTCAACATGAAACGTGAAGCACACAGGCCAGAAAGAGTAGGATGAAAACAAGACAAACGTAGGAGATTTAGTAGATTGTTTCGACACTTCTGATAACCATACCCGATGACAAAACGATGCATGCGCGAAGGCGTCAGCCGAGTATTGGGTATCGTTATCGGAGGTATTGGAACAATCTACTAAAACTCTTTATTATGCGACAGCACGGCTTCGGCGGAATGCCTCGCCATTACTCCATGGTAATGTCAATGCTGACGTCGGGAAAGGGGGTCTTCCAGTAGTTGAAGGCGTTGAATGCGGGGTCGTCAATGTCGGAGCCGGGGCTTGCGACGTCCATTGCGTCCACCGGAAGTGGTGGACCTCCATCTTCTTCCCTAGCTGCTCCGAGGACCAGTTTGCCCGGACGGTCCAGGGAGTCCTGGTGGTGCAGCTCATCGGTGTTGTTGTTGTTGTTGCCGTTGTTGTTGCCACTGCCGCCTCCACCTCCATTTCTGCCGTGCTTTTGCTTGGAGTCCTGCGTTAGAAAAAGAATAGACGAATGAACAAACCTCATTTCACACATCTGGATTGAAACAAATGATTCTTCGTTGCATGTTCGGGCACAAAGGGTTCACGTTCTAACAAAGAAACCCATCCGAAGCAAAGATTGCGTAATTAATATTTCTTTTGCACGTAAGCATCTTTCATTTACAAGTCATAAAACACCAAGCAATGGTCCACACGCATGAGCCCCTGCCGATCTGTCTGACCTTGCGAGCGATACGGAGTACCACGTGTTCTCGGGGAGGGGGGGGGGGGGGGGGGTCACGTGACATGAGGGGGTCACATGACCTCAGAGGGTAATCCTGATGACCCTCATACCCTCGTGAGGGTAACCCTAGTAACCCTTGTGAGGGTAACTCTCGTGACCCTCGTGAAGGTAACTCTCAGAACCCTCGTGAGGGTAATTCTCATAACCCTAATGAGGGTAACCCTTTTGAGGGTAATTAACCCTCGTGAGGGTTACGAGGGTTACCAGGGTCACTCTCACGAGGGTTACGAGGGTAACCCTCGTGATTCTCGTAAGGGTAACCCTCGTGAAAGTAACCCTCACGAGGGTCACCCGCGGTTACGCCGACGCCGACGGTGACGCCGCGCAATCCGGAAACGGGCGCCTAAGAGCTGCGCTCTAAAAAATGGTTCGAGTCTAGACTAGAAAATACATTATTTAAGAGTAGATGATGTGTTCCACGATTTTGCAGGGCGCGTTTCTTAAAGATATAAGGACGGCAATTTAGCGAAGAATCTTTGTTATCTGATTTGAAGACTGGAACAACCCTTCCCATTTCCCAGTCCTCTGGAATGCTGCTCGTGGAAAGTGACTGAGAAAAAAATTAAACACAGATATTTGGCGGCAATTTGCCTGATGTTTTTTCTTTTACGTTTTGAGTTAATCTCATCTACGCCGGCTGATGATGACAGTTTCATGTTTTCATTCACACAAGAAATACCATCTGCAACGAACGTGGCGGAAGGCATTGGTGTCGGTCTCTTCGTCAGGTATAAAGGAAGGGACACGTGAGCTTCATTAGTAAAAAAAGATGAAAAGGCAACATTAAACACGTCGGCACATTCAGCATCGTTGACAACCTTGCCCAATTCAGTAGTGAGTGCAATAGTGTTCGTCTCCTTTGGGTTTAAACACTAGCCAGAATTTCCTGGGGTCAGCATAATTGGCAAGTCATTATGAAAATATTAGTGTTTGGCATTTTGGACTGCAGTAAGGTAGTCACTTTCAACTGTGTAGTATTTATCCCATGCACAAGGGTTTCCACATAGCTTGGCAGCACTAAGAAGCTGCTTTTTGTTATTTTGTAATCTCTTAAAAGTTTTTGTAAACCAACGTTCATTGTGGCTGGCACGAGTGCCGAGTCTTGGAATAAGATGATTTACAAGTTCTGCAATTTTGTCTTTAAACATGCTTTCTTTATTCCAGCCTCGTGTATTTGGCAAATACAGCACCAAGTTTGAATTGTTATTTTCATGTGAAAGTCATCCACCTCCAAAATCTTTACAGCTGGACACCCTGACAACAAAGCAAACAGGAGGAACAGCAAGTGTTTGAACGGCTGTCCAGTTAAAGATGCTGAACTAGTAGCAAAAAATGAGGAACCTATAGAGCGTGACAATTTGTGCAAGAAAAGCATTGACGTTTTTGGCCTCAGGACAATTCGATTCAGCTAAAATCTCAATTTTAGAGCCTGTAAAATGTAAATTGTCGAGGCCTAATAACGGCTAGACATTTTCATTTATGTTTACTGTACATTACTTGAGGGACAATATAAACAAGTCCAGAGATGCCACCATCGAAATTCTTTCTACATTTAGCAAAGGTCAAATGCAAGCAATGTAAACAGATACAAATAATCAACTAGAATATGTCTGTATTCCATTCATTTCTTTAGCTTGCTCTAGTACTTGAGTTGTCTTAATTGTGATACTCTATCCATGGCCCAGAATACATTTAACATGTTGCTCGAGCAGCATGCAGCTTTCCTGCTTCCACGTCCTGTCTAAAAACAGAGATACAAAAAACAAAACAAAAAAAATAGTATACATAAATTTTCAATTCAATCAGACCATCAGCAGCATTAACAAGGGTGACATGTATATCTATCATGACGCTCCTGAAAGTTGGCCACATTTCTTCCTTTTCATATACCAGCTGTGACCTGCTCAGTCAACCATGATTGAAATGTTGGTTGAAGTTTTGACTGCAGCCACAGCAAATGCCTCAATAAAACCACATACGTAGTTCAGCTGGTTTAACCGTTACAAATTCACACTTCCTACGAAAAACACACACAAGAGAAAAGCATGATCAAGCATGATCTGTTCAAACACATGTTTTTTTTGATACCACAAACTTTCTCTCCCATGCCCAAGATGTTTTCAAAAATTACTTTCCAGTGACTTCCAATACATATTTGAGTTTCCTGACTTTTCCCCGGCTATTTTATCGAAATTTTCCGACCGAACTCCAAGGGGATAGGATTTGTCTGAAGTAGTTTTTATGTGAAAACACTGGTATACATGCAAGTCCGGCTTCAGGGCGCTGCCATCTTGCTCGGCTGGGGTGCACTTGGAAGCGTCATAATCCGATTACGAAGCCTGGCTAAGGCCACGCCAAAGCACACCCATCTAAGCAAGATGGCGGCGCCCTGACACCGGACTTGCAAACATGTACACCTGACAGCGGTGCAGTTGCCAAGCAGTGATCGCCTCATCCTGTCAGTCTATTCTTTGATATGTTTTGCTGAATGAATGTCCTGTGTTAAATGAACAATTTTTGAAATAAGCATAGGCTGTATAGGCATACCCACGCTAAACCAAGGTGTTGCATGTTGCCTTGGCACCTACACTTCCATGGTTTCCCCAGCGCACAGTCCAAGATTTCCTTACCTTAACAGCATAAATGAACTAAACCACCATGCTGGGGATAGCCTGCCGAAATAGCCCACTTATGAGTGGGTGTGGAAGCTTGAAAGGCGAGCTTTTGTATCCTGAAGCCATTTGGAAAAGGTGACACAAACAGGAAGAGTCTGTATGAGGATGCAAGGAGGGAAGCTGGTCTTGGAGGTGATCCGAGTTGAGGAGGTAAGTCGGGTTGAATCTCTGGGTCCCCCCCCCCCCCCTTTTCCCCGACTAATTTTCAAGAAAATGTTTGCTTTGGCATGCCGGCTGAGTCGCCTGCAATGTGTTTCACACCACACACACATATCTTACTGTTGCTTAGGAAAAGGGAAGCCCCCTGATCTATGCTCACTGGGATGGAAATTCCCTATCTTCTCCAGATTTGCCAAATTTCCTTAAAATTCCCAGTTTTCCTGGTTGGTAGGAACCCTGTTTTTGAATTACTATGCACCTAGTTGAAATGACACATGACACTGCTGTGCATCCAGACTAGCAAGGACAGATTGACAACATGTTCATACGTTATTTGAGAGAGTTTAACCACATTTTGCCACATCACGATGCTTTTAAAACTTGTACCTGCTCGTCACTTCCTCACTGTTCCTTTGGGGGCTCTGATTTCAGACAGCCCTTATTTGAGTAATGGTCTATAGCAGTGGTTCTCAAGCATGGATGTGTCAGGGACCCCTTGGGGGACCTAAAGTAACTGGATCCTGGGAAAGTAACACCAAGCTCCCCGTGTGGTCACCATCTTGGTCCGTGAAATGAGCAATTTCTCCTTGAACCCTTTGTTCTAGGTGAGCCGATCTAGATTCGCTGGTGACGGGTAGCTTTATGGGGTCGTTTTCTGTATACCGAGATTTTGCAAACCACACACCGGCGAAACAAGCGTACACCTTCGTACCACCACCACATGCTGTGTCGGTGCTTGGAGGCACTGAAAAATAAGTTTATTGTCTTGAAATATGCAAGAAGAACAATATAATTGTAAGAGATCCATGGATATGTGCATGATTAAAATGTTGATCGCATACGAAGTGCCAAAGACTCTTATATTGGCGGGGAATGCTTCCAGTACAATGATGCTCCATGGTGGTCTTGGCGCGACTGGTTTAGAACGACCCCCTGGAAGCTTCGAAGATTTAAATGAACCAAGATGGCGATTTCCATGGCAACCTAGACCAATTAGCCAATCCCCTTGCGAGGTTTGGGTCGTCTGTATGTTAGTATCTGTTTGTGTCTGGCTAGCAGATAGGGAAGGCAATGGCGCTACTTTCCCAGGATCCAGTGACTTTAGGGGGACCCACCCAAGTGATGGGGGACCCCATGCCAGTGGGTGAAAGGGAAAGGGGTATAAAATAAGACAACTAATTGCAGTGTGAAAGGGCATCCTTTACTGCTACAGACAGGAGGAGTGAGAGGCCTCAAGTAAAAGGATGAATGGATGGACAGATAACACCTGTACCTTTTATAAAGGGTAGTAGCTTGCACTGCCTAGCCAGGGTTAACAAAAAACAATGTTATTTTCCAGAAAAGAGAGAGAGGGTAGGGTTGAGGTGAGGGCTTCACAGACCTTATCGGGTCCGCAGAACCCCATCTGAGAACCACTGGTCTATAGGATTTCATTCCTGTGGATGTAAGATTTTATGGTGACGACCACATTTTACACACCAAGACAGAAAATGCTGACAATCAAATGTGACCTAACTGTGGCCTAGAGTGGCTGCCCAAGAGGTGTGCACTTGGCAACTGTCCCACATTTTTAGGAGGAAATGAGCACCAGGTGATATTCCCTAGAAAATGCACATTATGTATTTTCTCATATCATGTTAATAGTAATTAAAGAGACCAGATATCCTGATTTAGACAGAACAAATCCCGCGTTTGTGGCCATGGTTGTGCTGTCCCACCAGCCTGCTTGCTTGTGGGACAGCGCTTTGTACCGCTTTGGCTCCCCTAAAGTTCAAACAGTAAATAAGTGCTGTGGACGTACCTGCAAAACTGGAGGAATAATACAAAGCTCTAACCTAGCCATTAGCATTAGATGTGCATGTTAAAAAACATGTAAACTGCAAGTAAAAAAAAAAAAAAATGTTGTACTGTGTCTTGCAGCCTAGCTCCCTGTCCAATGTTCCACTTTAGGGTCAGGGGAAATTGTCACTTTATCCATAATTCTTTACGAACTGTTTATCGATACAAATAGCTAGGATTGCATTTCCCAGCCAATTTAAAGTGGAGTATAGATATTCATGTTATATGGCAGTGAAATTGGCAGGAGTAGGGAAGGTACAGAGACCATGCATTACAATTTATAATAAAAGGAACTCCATCACCTCTTCAAAATAGCTCTGAGTACTTACATATTCAGCACAGTACAGCACAAATTTCCACAGTTTACTAAACAACAAACTTAATTTAGACATTTGTATGTGGTCCTCCAGTTGTTTCATAAGTGGGCATGAGTATCATAAAAGGTTGCAATAACTCACTTAAATTTTATATTGTCATAAAAAAAAATAAAAAAAACTAGAAACTATCTAGGGAACAACCTTTCAGAAATGTTTCTAGCTGTGTCCAATTTAATTATAATAGCTTGTGTAGTATAAGTACTATTTTGTTTTGCGTTAGTGTTGTATTTTCCCTTGCACCTTGCTTAAAATGTCACTGGCAGCACTGTGAATTCGCCTAAGCTTTTTACTGTCGCATTTCTGATTACTTTTTTTTTTTTTAACAACTCTTCAATTTGTAACAACAAAACAAAATTCTGGCCCAATTCAATCGTTCTCGCGATAAGCCGCAGAAATCTCCCGTATTCCCTCACAGACATATCAGAGGCATTCCCCAAAAGCGCACCCGAGTGATTAGCTCAACCTTTTTGCGCAACAAAGCGAGCTCCCTTCCCGAACGAGCTGACAGTGCATGTTGGCGCATAAAAATATCGACCGGTTCCGCAACGACGCAAAAGTAGTCACCGCCAGTGCTTCTCTTACCGCCTTTGTTCCGTTACCAATGGGCGATGTAGCTTCATCTAAACCGAGCGACCCGGACGCCGTCCTACATCGTCATTCATCGTATCCTCATCGACACCCCCGCGCTATCACAACACAGCGCACTTTTCTCATCAACGACGGGACCACCACCGAACGCGCGACAAAGATGCGATGACAAGCAAGAAAAAGCGCAGGTGCAGCCAACCGGTGCAGCCCACGGACAAAGGTATCTATCTCCGAATCGCTTACGCGACAGACGAAGGAGAACGGTCCCCCTCCTGGAGTGTTTGGGGGATGTCCTACCTTACCGAAGGTCGGTTCTTTCGGTGCCTCCTCGATTTCCCGGACGAAGGCATCGCTGCAGCAGTTGTCGAACCGCAGTTGCTTCACGGGCGGGGAGCTGAGACTTCGATCCGAACCGCAGCCTGACGTGCGCTTGCGCTGCGCAGCGGATGGTGCTGCTGCCGCAGCTTGCAGACGACGGAACTTGGGAGTCCCGCGGCACGGCTCGCGGCGCACTTCAATCACATCCATCGCATTGCCGTCAGTACGCTCGCAAGGTATCGTTTCTTAAACGGCGTTCGTTTGAATAGGATATCGCAAACTACCCGAGATTTTTTTCGTACGAATGATGCGATATGTCACTGCTTCGTGTGTGCAACGTTTGTAATAAAGTGCGGCCAGGGCGGCCGCACAGTTGGGCTAGCGTGGCGGAGGTTGGCGGCGTTTTCGAGTGTTAGACCTGCAATGCACGGCGGTGGTAAAAATTTTAGAAATAAAGGAGAGGTAGTGAAAGAGTTACGTGTTGGAAAAAGCGTTCGTGATGAGAGGAGGCTAAGCATTTGAAGGCCAAAAGTGAAAATTGGATCAAAATCGACGCATATCTCACATGTGGTTCTTGATGTCGATCGTAGCGCCACGACATGATACCGCCAAGCGACCAAGCAACGAAGAAACTAGGAGTAAAAAGGTTTTGCGACGTTTTACGAATTTAACTTTCATTTAAAACGAAATATTTTGCTGTAAAATTAAGTTAAATGAAGATACACGTTCAAAATGTTGTTTGCAGATGCGCTTTCGGAAAACGGCGCTACCTACAAACAAAAAGAGCAGACACCGGAAGCCGAGCACGCCGAGCACATCCGAGCAGTGAGCACGAGTGTCATCATGGCTGACGAGGAGTCTGCGAAGAATATCAAATTGGTGATCAAAACAGCGAAAGAAAAACAAACTGTGACTGTCGATGGATCGTCCTCGGTAAAAGAGGTGAGTTGCGACACTCCTGCCAAGTTTCCAGCGAGACGAACGTGTAGAAGCTTCTCAAACCGTGTTACAGCGTTGAGTCTACGTCACACTAGGATTAGGTACAGATAGGCCTAGGAGTTCGGCACTCCGTTTTTTTGTCATCACGGATGTTTGAAATCGGTTTGTGATGAAAGAACGCGAGTAAGAGGCCCGTTCCTGAGGCTTAGCGTACCGGAGCTGTGCCTTGTTGCGATGCCGCATCGACGTATGATCGGTCACGCAGCAAGAACCGCTAATCTCGGTTCCTCATAGCGTACCAGCGGCCAGCCCCCTTCGAAAACAAGTTGCGTCTCCTGCGAACAGCCAATGCTTGGCTTGTCGATAACGGTGACCGATCTGGCAGCGGAACAGTCAGATTTATACATTGATCCAAAACGTTTTCGCGTTTGGAAAGCTGTGAACTAGCAAAAAAAATTGGCCAAATTCGTGCTTGATGTGTTGTAAGGGAGGAAAAGAAAACGAGAAAATGCTTCTGGAACTTTCGTCAGCCAACGACGGGAGCCGCGGAATTGTCGCGTAAGCATGGGGGTGCCTCGACCGTGCGAAAGAGGAAATTGGACGAGGAAAGTGTAGCGATTAAATCGCTGGCTCGCTCTTACCGCTCCTGGTTTCCCCCAGCCTTCAAAAAGCGCGGCTCCAGCTTTGTAACTGGACCACAGTAATGAATTCGGCTGGCCGAATGCCGTACAGGGGAGGTCGTGGTCCGTATGGTCTACGTTTTGAGGCGGACCCAACGTTATTTTTTAGGTGTTCGCGAACTGTTTTGTTTTAATTTCGGAGCGTTTTTTAATAGAAAAATGGTTTGTGACCGTTAATGTACGATCTTAGCGGTGTTATCGCCGCTGAGCTCCGTCAACGCTGGATCGAGTTGTAGAACCGTATCCAGGAAGTGATATGGCATTGCCAGAGGCTTTTAGCCGTAACTCTATTAGAGTGCGCGGCTTGGGGAAGAGCAGGCCGCGTGTCTTTCATTACCTACTGTAATCATTTTCCTGTGAAACTAGCGATTCTCGTAATTTGACTGGCGTTCCCTTTTTTCTTTTTTTCTTTTTATTCCAGGTCGTAGTTTGCACGAAGTGCTTGTAGCAGTGTGAAGTGACAACTGACAGACTAACATGCATTTGTGTTGCCATTAGCTGCTGCGTTTGGCAGTTGCAGTAATGTCTTGTCAACTGTCTAGATGCTGGTCGTCCTGTAATTGAGGCTCTTGTCGCAACAACTACTTTGGGGATAAAAAGAACTACTGTGGCCGAACATCTGCTCCAGCTTGTCGGCATTCTGACTATTTCTTGATTACTTGGTTTTCTCCTTTTCCTTTTTTTGGTCGAGCTGGCAAAGCGGGCATAAAACATATCTTTCTTTTGACTGTTATCTAGATTAATGCATGATGAGGTCAACCTGATGGGCACAGTAGCTATTAACAGGTGCTGAGTCAGAAAGGAGGTTCAAGAGGCTAGCTGGTGAACTCATTTCTAGAAAAGATAGCAGAACATTTATTGCCAAGTGTTTGCGATATGGAAGGAGCTTGCTAGCAAACCAGCGTTTAGCTGCCGGTTGCGGTTTGTTACTGGAGTGTCATCTGGCATCAAAACGACAACCATGATCTTTGGTTCTTCAGGTTGCAGGGACAAGACATTTGCATTTCTAAATGTGAACTTAGTCCTTTTTGTGATTTTGTTTTTAATGATTGAGTGACATCATAATCCCGTCACTACCTCCTATTGTACAAGGCCGGACCCCATGTGTCACTTTAAGGACATTGACAGTCACATTTGTGGGAGGGCTTAATGTTATGAACTGTTCAGCAACCAGTAAACAACCAAAGGTTCAGATTTCCTTCTTTTCACAAGAGGATGATGTAAAGAATACATTGTTTTGCGAGAGTACTGCTTAGTTATACTAGAACATATTAGAATTGGGACATAGTGACTGCCAGCACCAAATGATGTTGAATAGGAGAGATTCAAAATAGACAGCTGTGTCTTACGAGTGTTTCAGGACTAAAGGCAAATGGAAACAAATTAGCATATTTACTCACTGTCCTCTGCTGCGTTTGCAGCAGATCGTAGGCTGCCATAATCCTCGATTTTGCAGATCCAAACCATCTGGTGTCGGAAAACAGATTCTTTGAGAAGCGGTGTATATTCCCTGTAAGATGAGCGCTGGGGTGGGCTTTCTACAGTTGACAGCAGCTGGGAACATTGCCCAGTGCAAGGGAGGATTGGTAGAACTGTAGTAACCTCACAGCTCCTTTAACATTCCTTGTCCCTGCTGTGTGCAGCTGAAGGAGGAAGTGGCCAAGGTGTTCAGTGCTCCCCAGGAGCAGTTGTGTCTCATCTTTGCTGGCAAGATCCTCAAGGACAATGAAAGCCTGGCTTCTCACAGTGAGTGGCCAGACGTTGCGGGCAGTTCCGTCAGAGAGTGTTGATGAAGCCCCTGAACACATGTTGAAGGAAGAAAGTGTTTAGTACCAGGGCGCATAACAATTTGCACGGAAATCGTTAATGAGAAAGCTCAAAACTTAAGAGAGCATTTATTATTACTGTATTCAAATTGCAACAACACTGCATGGTTTTACATGCCATGTCCATCTGGTGACCTATGCTGCTTCGTCAGTAAAAAAAAGCATAGGAGAATCCGGCTAAGGATATAACCTTTTTTATCACCGGTTTCCTGGCCGACGTTCACAAAAATTGAATCCTTGTTGGAACACTGGCTGCTGAGCTGTGCACAGAGGGGGGCGTGGCATTTTGTTTATGTAGAAAAGTACAAGGATCCTCAGATAGTTAAAAACTGTTTGTTTAAGGTATACCATTGCTTCTGCTCATGGAAACCTGTAAATATGTGTTAAATAGCATAAATTAAATTGCAAGCAGATCATTTTCTGACTTTTCTTTTGATAAGGAATGTTTTTACTTTTTGTTCTTGAGGGATATTCATTTTCGGATGGATTAATGTCCTTCACGGTACATCAAGGTGCATTCATTCCCATGACTGATTGTGTCCAGTTCAGGATGTTCATGGATTTGCGGAGTTAGGGCATTTCAGAGTAGGATGAATTGGAACATCACCCTGATTTAACACACGGTTTAATATACTCCTGATCTAAATCACTTCTTTACGCAGAGAAAACCTCACAGGGATATTCAAATGCACAGTTTTCTGCCTCTTTTTCTTAAATTTTTATATCTGATTGCATTGTAAAATACCGAGCACCCAACCTTTCTGCCCACCCTTCAATTTTGTAACATTCGGAAAAGACGCAAAAGACCTATCTTTAGTTATTGTTGACCTAAGAAGTGCCCATCCCCCTGTTTTACATGATTGTCTCCAAATGTTGAGTGAGTGCTTGCTCAGTATTTTACAGTGGATGAACAGAAGACTTCTAATTGTGTAATGATAAAATGCAAGGTATTGGAAGTTAGCACAACTATAAAAATTGAGTGACAGACCACTTTATAATTTTTGATAGTCAAAAATGGGTTTCATTGGAATGTCTTACCTGGTCTATAACATTTTTCAATGAACTGGTTATTGAGCATAATAACAGGAATAATGACATTTTTGCGTTACATCCAGTGGTATAAGAACAACCTTTTATTGGTTAAAAGAAAAATATTTCCACACGAAGCTCCAGCTTCTTTCAGAATGTTTTGACAGAGTTGTGTGCATCCAAGTTCAAGCGTAATGCTTGTACCCAATGGCGTAGTAATAGGGTGGGGGGGGGGGGGGGGGGCAGGCGGCGTGGCGTGGGCGTGGCGGGCGGGGTGTGGCATTGGCACCAGGTAGGATAAATTGAAACATCACCCTGATTTAACTCATGATTTAATATGCCCAGTCACATTGGGGACGGGGGGAGGTGCGTGGGAGGCGTAGCATGCACCCCCCCCCCCCCCCCCCCCCCCACACACACTCTTTTTAACGATAAGACCTAGGGGCCTGGGTTGTTGGATGATCTAGCTACACTAGTGCTTGTACCTGAACAATAAAAAAATGGCTTTCATAGTTTTAATTGTAATTGCGGTGGGATAGCAGCCTGCCACATATTTAAACGAGCAAAGATTGCTTCGCATATTCCAGTATAAAATAATGTTGGAAATGTGTGTGTGTCTGCAATTGTTCCGAATCCTTAGTTTTAACTTCTGGAAAGAGATTGGTAGCACCACGTCTTGGAAGTCTGGGGGCTGCAGATTCAGAGTTTTTTACGAGAGACTACCAACACCGAGCAATGTTAGGAAAATGTAAAAGTACTTGCTACAGTCACTGTCGGCTTGAGAATGGCGGGACGTCTCTTTCGGAATCCCGGCCTCCAGCATGTGCTCATCGCGTTTCATTTGTGCTTTGGATGCTTTGGCTGTGCATGCGTGCTCGGGGCTCCCAAGACGCTGAAGTATCGTCGAAGGTAGGCAGATTGTGCTGGAGGCAGAACAACTGAAATTCCTCCGCACTGTTATCTTGTCGGCGACTGTGGGCGGTGACTGTGGGTGGTTTATTCTATGTCGTCTGGATCAGTGCCCCCTCTTACGACTGTTCTTTCTCGTGCAGACATCAAAGATGGCCTCACGGTGCACCTGGTGGTCCGGTCTTCGGCGGCGGCCGCCAGGGTATGTGCACCGCAAGCTCGCTCGCTGCTTGCTCAAACCTTCCCTTTCTTCCTGCCGAAAAGTGTCGTTTCTCTCGTATGAGGCATCTTCGAAGTGTTAGGTCTCCTATCTTAAAACTTTGAAGTTTCGAAGTGAGACTTTAAGGTCATTGGGTTCTTAACCTAACCATTGTTTCGGTCCCTATTTGGTGCAGTAAATTGGCATTTCAGTTGCTATGTGCCTAGCATTGGCACAGTTCCTCCGAGTATGTTACATAAGACTTGTGAATCATCATGATCAAGCCTGTTTAAAGAAAACCAATTGCCATATATGGAATACGTGTTTACTAAAACCGGGGTGACGTAAGTGGCAAAAAATTTGTTTCTATTTGTCATCGAGGAACTGGCTTAACGCTTTGAGTGTCCCTTACTTCTAACTAATATGTGCCGGCAGATGCATGGAGCATCCCAGGTTTCTGTTTCAATTAGTCTCTCTCTCTGTGCAGGGTGACAACCCACCAGCACCTGGGGATCCCAACCAGGTAGGATCCGCTTTTCGATAATGCTGCAATTTTGAAAAGCTTGAAGGGAACCTGGGGGGGGAGGGGGAGGGGGGCGGGGGCGGCGGCGACTTATTTTATGTTAACTCTTTGCGGTCATGTGTCGGGCTGCGCCCGACATCGAAGAAACACGGTTCCGGTCGGGTGTCGCCCGACGCGCGTTCCCGCGCTCTTTTAAACGCGCTCCTTCGCTCTTTTTTTTTTTGCTGGATTGGTGGCGCCATCTCTTGGAACGTTTATACACTTCACTTTTGAAAGGGTTTGAGTTTTTTTCTCATAGAGGGCAGAACTAATCCTAAACAGTCTAAACAACGGAGGAGTGCGCAAATTCAACTTCGATGCCACGAGGGATGGCCACGTTTCAGCCACGCTCATTTTATGGTAACTCTTCGCGTGATGTAGTTGAAAGTGACGACAATTTCAGTGAAGAGGACAACTATACCCCTCCGTCAGATGATGAAGAGACGTCCTCTGCTGATTTGAGCGAAAGTAGTGATGAAGATGAAACGACTGCTCAAGACAACAACCGCGGAGCCGCTCAGCCACAAGCATTGTCCTGGAGTTTGTACACAAACAATCTCCCGGACTTTCCTGTGCTTACCTTCAGTGTGAGTAATCCCGGATCACAAATTGGGCCCTCAAATCTTCAATCTGAACTCCAGTTTTTTCAATTATTTTTTACGGATCAACTGATTGGAGAAATTGTTCACGAAACAAACCGGTATGCGTGCGAGAAGATTTCGTCTGCGGAACCCCTTGCAAAACATTCCACTTGGAAAAGCTGGGAGGACGTCACTGTCGATGAGTTCAAAGCATTTCTCGGAGTCCTTATGAACGTGGCTCTGAATCCCAAGCCAGACATCAAAGAGTACTTCATCGAAGAAATTCTGAAGAAGATGCCTTTTTTTCGACTGGTGTTCACCCGAACAAGATTTCTGCAAATTTTCTGGATGCTGCACGTTTCTCCTCCTCCGCAAGGTCCATCAGGACAGCCGACACGTGGCAGCAAGGTGAGAAACGTTGTCAGCTACATTGATTCAAAGTGCAGAGAGCATTTCAAGCCCGGTCCGAAGATTTGCGTAGATGAGAGCACCGTGGGCTTCAAGGGGCGAGTCTCCATCAAGTGTTACAACCCACAGAAGCCGACAAAGTGGGGCCTTCGGGTGTACATACTCGTGGACTGCGCAACTGGGTATGTTTCTGCATTCGAGCCATACTACGGCAGCACTACTACGGAGAGCCTCCCTCGGCCAGACCTTCCTTTCACTTGCCGAATCGTCCTTCACCTTCACGAGAAAGTGCAGTGCGCTTCGCCTGGAAGGGGGTACCACCTGTACACAGATAGCTTTTATACGTCGCCAACACTTGCCGAGGAGTTGCTTTCGCAGGACGTCAAGCTGACGGGGACTGTGATGACCAACAGAAAAAATATGCCGCAGCAGCTGAAGAAAAAGATGAAGAAGGGTGACGTAGTTGCTTACCGACAAGGGAACTCGTTCATGGCCCTTGCTTGGCAAGATAAGCGCCAAGTAACTATGCTGAGCTCAGCTCACAACCCCTCGATGAAGGCTGTGACGAGAACTGAAGCTCATGGTCAAACGGTGACGCTCCAGAAGCCCGTCGTCATTTGCGACTATACTGAAAACATGGGGGCAGTGGACCGAGCCGACCATTACTGCGCAAGCTATGCCTTCTCTCGGAAATCTCTCAAGTGGTGGAGGAAACTTTTTTTCTGGATTCTTAAAGTTTCCATTGTCAACAGCTATCTACTGATGAAAATGCAGATGGACGCAAAGGGACTGAAAGGGCAGGAACACCTGCAGTACCGTCGCAAGCTCATCGAGCAGCTTGTCAGGGACCTCCGAGTGCGACCTAAGAAAAGAGGTCCGGCATCCCAATCCGACTGTGAAGAGCGGCTAGATGGAAGGCAGCACTTTATCTACAAGCTGCCAGAACGCAGCAGCAAGGACTGCGCAGTGTGCAGTGACCGGAAAACTAAAGGGGGCAGGAGAGAGAGAGTTTTCTTCTGCAACACCTGCAGCAAGCATCCCGGCCTCCACCCTGGAGAATGTTTCGAGAAGTACCATACACTGACGAAGTTCCGCTAGAAAACGCGAGAAAGCAGGAGCTCTGCAAAAATAAATATTTCATGTTACCTTTGTACGCCGAAATAATTTTATGTTTCCGTGGCCCGTGCATCCAAAATAGTTTCTGACCGGAACGACCATTAAGTTGGTCAGAGTATCTGACCGCAAAGGGTTAATCCCAGTTCACAATCTTGCAATGGCCTAAACTCTGAACGAGGTAGCTTGCCATTCCGCACATTGCATGCTGTGTTCAAGGCAGTGTGCTCACCCTTGTAGCTGTGGCTTCATTTGTGCTTAGTAGCTAAACACAAAATGCGTTTATTTTGTGCCCTGCTCAGGCACAAAATGTCTAATGTCCTCCAACTATCTCGTGTGCTCGCCATCACCAGAGTGAGGCGGCATGTTTCTAGCGCGCAGCTCTGTTCAACTCACTTTCAATAGACAGCTTCAGCACGGAATTCGCTACGAAGCTTTTGTTTCATTTCAGCTTACAATTTTGGTAAAACGGTTGAAAGCGTCAAACTTTTCGTGTTTGGCTGTGACCACAACGGATGTTGCCTTAGTCATCCAGTATGGTCCTTTCATTAGTATTCGTGGGTGTTGTCTAATGACGACACAAGCACGACTTCTTACTGCGAGGTGGCAACAGCCTAGACGTTGACGATGTACTTAATTCATTCGTTGTTGTTTTTTTCTTCGTTGTTCCAGGGGGGTTCCCAATCTGGGGTGCCTCCAAACCCGTTTGCTGCTGGAGGGGGCGGCATACCGGGGCTGTCAGGGCTTGGCCTTGGCTCTGGCTCCTTTGTTGAGATGCAGCAGCGGATGCAGCGAGAGGTGAGCATTGCTCGTCTTATAACCCTAAAAGGTCTCCTCTTCTCGGTGCAGGCGCTCTGCCATGCTGTAGTTAAAGGTAATTTGGGGCATCAGCGGTGTAAGCGTAAGCGTGCATCCCTGTGTTTTATTCAATGTTGCCCATCTACAGATGCCATTGCCGTCCTATGTGGTCTGTTGACTGAGCAAGAACGTCTGCACATTTGGAGGTTATGTGTTTAATAGACCTTCAGGAGATGTAGACCATGTCTTTTTACATGTTTTGTTTACCCATCTTTTTAGAAAAACGTTGCATCCGAAAATGGTATAAGCCACAGCGGACATTGAAGCATCGGTGTATCGCGATAATTAAGATAAATTGTGTAAACTTCATAATTGACCTTATAGATAGGGGTGTGCGAATAGTTGTTCGAATCGAATAGCGCTCCGTCATCGCTAGCATCAACAGAGCGAAAAGAGCCGGTTGCATCGGTTTTCCTTTGCACGGCAAAGGCTATGAATGACGTTGTGCTATTCGATTCGAACCACTATTCGCACACCCCTACTTATAGATATTTGTTTTAGCAGCTACAGCCTAACTGGGGATTTCAGACCCGTCATCGCACTCGGCTAACAACTGCCATGTCCTTCATTGACTACCGGCTACAAATATGATTGAAATGTGCCAGCTAAGGTGAATATTTCAATCTTAATGAGTGAATTCTAAGTAATCAGTCCCTCCTCTCATTACCACGTCACCCCTTCAAAGAGAAACATCCCAAAAGGGTCAGTTTGAATGCCTTTTCTCAATCAAAAATTTTCAGCCTAGTCACAAATGCCCTCTGTACAATAATACAATAACAAAATGAGTGGTAGACGACTCGGCCCACGGTGCCATGTGCTCCGGTATCCAGTCCTGTCATCTGGTGCTTGAAGTCTTCTCTGAGAACCGTCCGTTCCTCCGTGAAAGCAATGGCCACTTAGCTGTTGTGTCCCCAATCATAAATGTGGATGAGAGGTGCACCAGCGAAGGACTAGGGTTTAATTTTGGCCACCTACAAGGTCAAGACGGAACATTTGTTTGCCCGATGGCGTTTGTCAAGGTGGTGATGTCCATGGTTTTGTTCTGTGCAGCTGATGAGTAACCCGGACCTGCTGCGGCAGCTGATGGACAACCCATTTGTGCAGTCACTCATGTCTAACCCAGACTACATGCGCCAGCTGATTGTGGGCAACCCCCAGATGCAGCAGCTGATGGAGGTGACTCCTCAAAGCATCATTCTCTTTGTCGCATTCTTTTTTTTTTGTGGTAGTTTGTGATTGTATCTGTTTTGATGCGATGGTTTCATTGGTCCCTAGGCTATTCCATGCTGATTAAGCTGATGTCACACAAATATTTAAATTCCTTGTCCCCTTCACAGCTAGCCCATGATGCACTCTTACCAGTAAAGATAACATGTTTTGCAAAGCTGTCTGATGATTGTAATGATTGTAATGTGGTTTGCATGGCATCGCTACAAGTTTTGAGTTTCCTTAGTTACTGTTTGAAGAAGGTTTGCAACTCATTTGCTCAAGATAGGCTTCATAGTTATTTTGGCTAGCATATGCACTGATCCAGAATTTGATTCAGAGTTAAAAAGACCTGCAGTAATTGCAGGAGCTCCGCCTCTTACATTTGTTCTGAAACTTTCACTGGAAGCAAGATACTGTCCTTCACTTATCCTTTCCTCCCACTGGTATCCGAAGCTATGAACTGTCTGCCCTAATCTCACGCCTCACAAGTGGCACTCGATTGGTTAGCCTGAACATGGGCGTTGATCAAGCATCGCGTGGTGTTCTAGTCGGACAGGATTGGTGCTGATGGCTTGCAACTTTTGCCTTCAGTTGGAGGAATGAAAGTACCGTATTTATATGACTGTAAGTCGACTCCCCCGCCCCCGCCCCCAACATTGCACATAAAAAAAAAAAAAATCTTTAGAGGCGCATTTTACGGCGAACATGTGAGAACAACGGCAGAGCGTCCTTTCGGAAGTCGAGCCTCCAGCACGCGCTCGATGCCTTCTGGTGTGCTTTGGCTGCGCATACATGCGCGAGGCGCATGAGATTCCCAGGCGTTGTCGAAACTAGGGAGCTCACGCTGGAGGCGGGATAACTGTAGCTGGTCCCTGCCGTTCTCAGTCTCTGCGACTAGAGACTACGAGTCGGCCCGCACTGGTGCTGTCACTCCCGTCAACATCACTGCTACGTTCTCAAAGCACATCGTTGGCGTCGTCCAACGAAATCTTGCACTTCGCAACTGACAGCATCAACAACGTCTTACGTGCTTGTTCGGGGATTGCGTTGCACGTCTTGGGTAGGGACCGATTGCGCACTTCTGCGGCATACTTTGAAAGGCATCCCGACCTATCCAGACTTTGGGCCACGGAAGCCTTTTTGTTTGCCGTCACAGTCACCCATGCCGTTGGAGACGCCCCTGGAGCACCACCCGTTCCGACAGGTTAAACTTGTACCCAGCAGCGTAGTTGTTGGTTGCTTCTGGATGAAGAATAGCCATCAACGAGCAGCAAAAACCTAAGCTGCCCGGATCATGCATGTTAATACAGAAAAACTTAGTTGGCACTCCAGCATGATCTCGACACTCAATCAAACGACGCGCGACCGTGAATTGTGCGAAAAAAAGCAGCGGGGAGTTAGGTGCGAGGCTGTTCCAGCCATTCCAGCGGCCATTCCGGAGTGGCTTTTCCAAGAAGTGCCACCAACCCCTGGAGTCAGGCACACCAAGCGCCGTTCATCGCCGTACATTCCGGCTAATTTTTAAATCTTTATCAGTAATACTCGTTCTCGCAAATTAAAAGAGAAAAAAGAAAGAACTTGTAAAATGAGCGCACACAATAGTGCAATGCTCAAGTACTCATAACAAGTCAGGGTGTTCTTGATATCGCGATTGTTTCGTTTTGGTCGGCGGTGGAATTCTTTTTTATCGTTATAAGTCAAACCCCCACTTCAAATTTTCAAAAATTGACGAATGGGTCAACCTATATTCGTCTACCGTAATATCCCGAGTCATCGCCCACCCCATTTCTCGGGCCAATATCGATTTCCAAAAAAACACCGAGTCATCGCCCACTCCTTCAAATACCCCAACGCAGACTGCACGATCCGCGAACACTCATCCTACCCGAATGACGCGGCCGCGGACCTTGCAGTTGGAGGACGTCCATGGCAAAGTAAAACGAAGGACAGAGAGACACTTCTCTTTGTTTACGCATTTCCTCCGTGAGCGACCCTGAAGCGGTAGTGTATGCCTGCGAAAAGAAAACGATGGACAGAACAAAATAAAAGTTTGTGTTGCTTACAAAAAAATCGACCCGACAAAAAAAAAAAAAAATGGAATTGCGAGATGAGCGAACGTTCCATATCCTGGAATGTAACCGCGGAGTGGGACAAAGTCTGTCTCCGCCGAAGCGCGAACCCGCTCCTTCTCCCCGCACGTCTCAACCCCGGTTGTGCAGTATTTTAGACAAAGCGAACGGGTTAATAAAGCTTTGCTGGAATGCTCTACACAGACGTTTGTGGAGCGTCCCAAACCCCCATTGATAGCATGCCGTACACGGACGGACGCACGCACCAAACAAGAAAGTTGCGCAAGAGCTTGCGATTGACAAGGCGCCCTACTTGGCTTGATGCCAAAATATTTGCTAACGCGATCGCCGGCTTTTCCGCTTTCCCAGCATTGCTCTTCGTCGCTTCTTTGTTCCGCTGGCTCGCTCGCTCGTTGCGCCTGGTTGGTTTTTCCCATTTTCTTGTAAACTTTTCTTTCTTTCTTTCTTTCTTTTTTTTTAACTAACTAGGAGAACATGGCGGTCACGTGCTATCACGGAACAAGCGTTCGCTCTGTATGCAGATCGGCGGTGTTCCTAGCGCGTATGCAAGCAGCGGACTTCGCGATAGTAAAACATTCTTTCGTGAGCATTTTTTCTATAAAACAATAAAAGTAAATCGACTTTTGAGTTTAATGGTATCTCTTGTGCAGCAGCGCTTGTACGCAAAGAAAAATGGGCAGTTTTTCCCCTTTTTCTCAAACTTTTTTTGCTCACCCACCGTGACACGGGTCGCCCCACTTTTTTTTTTTTTTTTTTTTGTGAATTTCAGGCGTCAAAGGGGTGGGCGATGACTCGGGATATTACGTAAATACGGTAATACTCTGCATTTTAATGCAAGGTATTGGAAATTCTGGGCCTAGCAAAAGAAATAACCTTAGTTAATTCTTTTGCTCGAAATAGCCTTTGCTATTTTTTGCTGGAAATAGCTGAAGTTTTTTCTAGCAAGCCAACAGACAGTCTCAGCTAAGACACAGCCTTAGCTAAGACCAAATAGTCTTAGCTAAGGCTGCGTCAAAGAAAGCACTGCCAAATGTAGTGTTCGAGTGACGTAGCACATGGAGTCAAGTCTCGAGCGCTCGCGTTCCTCAGGCTCGACAGGCTTTCTTTCAGACGAAACAGAAATCACTACTAACTACCATAAAAAACCTGCATATAATACAAAACAATTTCAGGACCGCGAAAATTTTCCGCGTAAAATACGACCAAGGAAGTCTTAAAAAATAAGGTTTATTTGCGTTGAAATAAACCTTAATCACTCATCACTTCCACCAGACTCCTTGTCTGACGCCACCTTGCAAAGGCAGTAGTTTCAGTGCCGTTGAGAACATTTGAAATCCCACACTTCTTGAAAGAGCGTGCGCCGATGCAGTGACTTGGCGCGGCGCATAAAGCGAGCAACATAATGTTGGCTCGCCAAAGTTCTCTCGTCTTCTCTTGCAGCAGCTCGACATTTACGGCGAGGTGCCGTTCACGTTGATCTTTTACAAAGTCGCTGAGACTTGCCTCGACGTCGGTGAACACGCCATTCTTTGGGCCTCCAAAGTTTCTTCTCGTTCTGTGGCACGCGAACAGATCTTGCTTTTGCCGTCTCCATCCGCGGATGCTGCCTTCATTTACAGCGACCTGTTATCCGGCAGCACTGTTGCCGATGTCTTCTGCAACCAAAATGACTTTTCTTTGAAGGCGGCCGAGTATCATTTTCGCGCCGATGCCATTGCCTAGCCTGACTGTGGACGGAAGATGGCGTCTCGGACAATGAGATTTTAATGATGATGATAGCTGTTTTGAACGCCACATTGCTTTGAAACCGAAACTATGTCAAACTGCGTTAGATCGCGCATCATCGAAGCTGAAAATTTTTGGGACCCGTGTATAATGAGCTGCATACTTTACATAAAAAAGTTTGAAAAAAAATTTCGTATTATATGCGGATTTTTACGGTACTGTATCTCCAAATGAAATCGACATATTTTTTTAATCAGTTTTTACGGAGGATGACAGTTCACTTTCGGAGTTTGACGTCAATGGGCCTCCTGGCATTGGCGATGTTGTACTATTGGACGAAAAGTTTTTCATATGCTAAATAATGTTGACCCAAAGAAGCGTGCTGGTACTGATTTAATACTATGAGGTTTTAAAATGTTACGCAGAAGGAAATTTGGAGTATTCGTTTATATTATTTAATAAGTCTATGTTACAGGTTTTATTTATTTATCTATTCACAATACCTCAAAAGCCCCATTAAAGCCTTTGAGGTAAAGGGGGGGGGGGGGGGGGGGGGGGTTACATTCAGTTTAAGAATCAATTAAAACAAAATAATAAAAACAAATTCAGTAAAAAAAAAATATCTTGGATTACAGAGAGAGAAAAGCAAATGCAAAGTGAAAACATGTAGGTAAAACAAAACAAATGTGCAAATGAAGTTATAATGCTAGCATGCTCGACAAGAATCCAAAAAGTCACGATTCAAAATAAATTATTACAAATGATTACCGTATTTACTCGCATAATGAACACACTTTTTTCCGAAAAAATTTACTCATATTTACAATCACATAAAAGTGATTTTAAAGGGCATTACGAAACATTTTTTATTAGGTATGTTGACAATGTCTTTGGGAAGACCGTTCCAGCTCCTAATTGCACTAGGAAGCGCTGAGGTATTAAATGCTGCAGTGGAACCAAAGATGCGTTTGAAACTTTTGCTATTATTTTGACTAGGTTCTTACCTAGTCGGTGGAAAGTCGGACAAATTATTTTCATTCACAAGTCGGGATAAAACCGATCCATCAAACTCAAGACCAGTATCTCTAACTAGTATGTGCTGTAAGCTTCTAGAACATATAATCTTTTCCTATGTGATAAAATATCTCGACAATTGTAATATTTTAATCCCGTTCCATTGTGGTTTCAGAAGGCCTTTATCAGTGAGCAACAGAGTTCATTGAGCTATTTCACGAGCTCTCAAGTCCGATCAACACTAGGAGCCAGACGGACTTTATTTTTTTTCTCGACTTATCAAAAGCTTTCAATCTCGTATCTCGAGACCTGTTCACACACTGGTGCCGTGTACCGGGTAGCCATGGAACACTCGGCGGTCTCGTATATTCTATATTTTTTTCGTGTGTCGTTCTTTCTTTTTTTGGCTTCAAAGCCTTTTGTAGTTGTTATAAACTACCGTTTTTCATAGGGAGTATGTTTATTTGTCCTCACAAATACCATCAAACCGTTGCTCTAGGGAAATGTAGTTCCAGAGTCAACACATATATGGCGCCAGCTGTACAAGTCTGTTCTCGTCGTAAGAGATTTTAAAAGGTTTTAAGGCACTCGGTTCTAAGGAGTCACAAGTGTGTGAATGGGCCTTCACCCTAAACTGCTCTCGAAGCTTTCTGCAATTTTTCTAAATGATCGATTGGCCAACTTTCAAGTTTCTGTTTCTACCCCAGTCTCGGGTTAAGTTCCATCTTGGAATCCTCTTATTTATCCAGTAGGAGGCAGCTTGTACCTTTGAACGATAAGACCTCCAACCCCCTTCTGGTAACGTCGGGGGGGTTTCGCAGGCTTGGTTCTTGGGTCTCTTGTTTTTAATTTTCGTCAGTGACATTGTCAAGAGCATTAACTCATGTTAAATCAGCTTTGAATGGTCATATGTAACCTCCCGTGCTGTGGGTTGCTGATATAAGCTGCAATGCCCTATAAATCAAAGAAGAAAAAAAACACTGTCTTAGTTAAGATGCTATCTCTAGCAAGCGAGCCCAGGGCTCGTGTAACACGCATAAAACTCGCGAGAACAGAGTGCGCAATACTGAAAGGGTGAATAACCTGCACGAGTGAACCTCGGTGGGGGCTGCTCATTTTCTCATTTCTCGCGACTTCTGCCGTCGACTAAATGAGGTGTGCTGTGTGACTCTGGAGGCACTAAGGTTTCCCTCTCCACATGCTCAGCGGAACCCCGAGATCAGCCACATGCTGAACAACCCCGAGCTGCTGCGGCAGACAATGGAGGTGGTGCGCAACCCTTCGATGCTTCAAGAGCTCATGCGCACTCAGGACCGGGCACTCAGCAACCTCGAGGTGGGCTCACCTTTTCTCCTTTTTCATCACACTTTTTTTTTCCCCAGCTTTGCTGTTAGGTCAATACTGTAAACTAGCGTAAAATACCACGGAAGTGCCCACTTTGTTCAAGCACCCACCTTTAACATTTCACAAACTTGGGAATTCTGAAAATTATACGTTCGGCACTTGATTTTTCTGGGCAAGCGCCCCTGTCTAGCTTAACCCAGTTTTCAGTGAAAGTGGGTAGGTGCTCCCACGGTATATTATGTTACTTCATTTTCGTGAATTTAGAGACTCCAGAATTATGCAGGGGTAGATGGTGTTTTGTATCTCCTTTTTTATTTGTGTCCCGCAAAATCCCGTATGAACACCCTTCCCCGAAAGATTGCCCATCCTATCCTTTAGGATGAATACCCATAACATAAAAATTCCTAAACATGCCCGCCCTCCGATTCCCGTCCAATGTAACGCGATGATGTAAGACGGGAATTGAAACAATCGCATCATCTGCGGTACCGGTATGGGTCAAGTGAGTTCGTAGCAGGTTGCCACGTGTGCATTGCACCGTGACGTCCGAATCTGCGGCATCCGCGATCTGCGTTATCCGCTTCTGTGGTATGCGCGTTCGTGGCGGGTTCTTGCGTTTTTTCTCCACGGTCTCTGCACACGTTATCGGTTCCTGCAACATCCGAGTTTGTAGCAGCTTCTCTCGTGTTTATCTCGCCTTGAAGCGCTTATCTGGTGCACCTGCGATTTGCAATATCCGTTTCCGTGACATTATAGTTCATAGCAATATCAGTTTTCATTTCACATGGTTTGTAACTGGTGCTCCGGTGTTTATCACTAATTTTTACAGCAAAGCTGTTAAGGGCTACTTTCCCCACAATAGTGTCCATCAGCAAAGGAATGATGACACAGAACTCTGGACAGCTACCGCCATCTATAAGCAAACCTTTAGAGCCTTTCCACTCTGGCTTGCCCACTTGCGGCCGACCATTACTTCATTCCCACCATAGTACAGCTTTGCTGGTCTTCTTTCTTAACCGGAGTGGAAAGGCTGAAAGTGTTTTTTTTTCATCAACTTTTGCTGTCACATCCCCGAAGATTTTTTTTTCTTTTTTTTTTTTTGGAGAGTTTGTGTTTTTACAGTAGTCATTGCCTTTTTTTTGCATCCTTTGTCTCTGGAACGATTTCATATAACCATTGCATTTATCGCAATTGTGTATAGTCTGTGCAATTACCTATTTGATTGCTTGAAGGATACGTCTTAGAACCTTTAAGAATTAAAGTAGTTCTTTTTTTTTTTTCTAGTATGTATGTGATGGGCCCTAACTTTTGGAGGGCTATAACTATAATGTGCATGAAAATATATTCTTTGAGCAGCGAATATTGACCATGGAAATGTGAAAATTTGGAACACCCCTGAATCAAAACCAGCATGTTTTCAAGACTGCTATTTTCCTGCAACTTTTTTTTGCTTAGGGTTCCTCCTAATTTTTTTGATCGGTGTGTGCAGCTTCACCCCTATAATTCACTGCTTGAGAAGTCTGCAATTTCTTCTCTCCTTGCCAGAGTGTTCCTGGAGGCTACAATGCCCTGCGTCGTATGTACACGGAGCTGCAGGAGCCCATGATGAATGCAGCTCAGGAGCAGTTCGGTGGAAACCCGTTCGCCTCCCTCCTCAACGCCGGTGGGGCCGGTGGGTCCATCTCTTCATTTATCTCCCTTTTAGAAAAATGCCGCAAGGTCTGTCGCAGTCCTGATACCGGTGTGCTTTGTTACACTCTTTTCAAGGCACGTTCGGTCTCTGCATTCTGCTTTTCCTGAAATATTTAATTCCAGTGTTACCAGCTCTGAAGCATTAAAGTCTCGCATAGACCGCTGCAGGGCCTTGTATGAAGTCTGATAAGGAACTAATGCTCCAGTTGTGCAGTTCTCATAGGGCTTGGTCTTCGTGTTTCAGCACAGTGGCAGCATGGCACTACTCCAAGTTATGGAAGTTAACAATGGCGTGGTTGTTGGTGCAAATGCGAGCTGGCGATGGAACCTTGCTGACCCGATTGTGAAATGACCAAAAAAATAATGAGTGTCTTAGCTTGTTCTCAAGCCAACTCGCTTAACTTTCCTGCGGAGCTGTTGTTCCAGTGTTTGTTCTTGTTTTGCCCGACCTCTCTCAACATTTTTTTTTCGTGAGCTTCGATAGAACAGGTGGCTTAGCACCCTTTGAGAAAGAACAGAACATTGCATATTCCATTAAACAAAAAGCAAAGTTGTACTTTTTTTTTTTTTTTAACGTCGCAAAACTTTTTAAGAATGGGTCAGGGTCAGCATCAAGGTGACTCGAGAGGAGCTTAATCCGGGACTTGGGCGACGCTCAGTTTCTCCGTAACTCGGCAGCCTCCAAGAGCTACGGCCCCTGTGCGCCAGTTGGGGCATTGGAGCGATGCCCGTGACATTGTGCCGCTTCCTACTGCAAAACGCCGTCGCGTCCTGTCTCCATTGCTCCGACTGGCCCAGTTACGTATGCCAAACAATATAGTTTGGCCCGCGGAATACGACTCGTGCAGCGCTTTATGGTTGCCAAAAGGGTGAGAATGGCAGGGCGTGTCTTTCGAGCGCCAAGCCTTCACACGCGCTCCATGCCTTCTGGACTTTGGCTGCATGCATGCACCCGAGGTGCATTAGACGTTGAAGCGTTGTTGAAGGTAGGAAACTTGCACTAAAGGCGGGAGAACTGAAGCTCCTCCCTGTTCTCACCTTGTCAGGGTCAGTAGACCTTTGCAAAAAGAGCTCTCTCTGGCCGCCACCGTTTTGAGACTCAAGCAACCCTTATCAGCCAGAAATTTCTGCTACCCACCTAAGTAGTGGAAACCCGGTCAGCGCGACTCCCCATCTGCATTGTGTATTCAAAGGAGTTTGCCGGTTTTCTTTTAAATTTTTTGCTTTATTTGCCTGTTCAGGATGCTTACCCTTTTCTGTTATCTTCCACCGTGAGGACCAGGGAATATTGGGGCTCGTAGCCTGCTCGGCCTTTACAGGAAACGAACGAAGAGAGTGAACATCAAGTGGCCCGCGACGCGGGGCGTTTGACATTTTTCGAGGATGATTTCTTTTAAAGATAATTTCCGAAAAGCCTTCCCGTCTATGTTCGGGGTCTTCGCAAAAGATAGCTGATGGGGTCCGTTCTGGGGTATGGGGACAGAATAGTCACGCATGGTCATTTGCTTTGGTGCTGTGCAAAAAAGCAGCTTTCTTCAAAATGTGCCGCAATGCAAGCCGGATTCAGTCCGATCGTCGTGAAGTGACTGTCGTCAACACTATACTAATGCAACAACGCTAAGGAGCTCAAATTGAAGAAAATTGGTCGTGTGGCAGAAAAGCCGGCATCAATAGACCGATCTCACCAGCCAGTTTGACTACGGAACTTTATTTTTTCTGCACGTGCAATAACCTTGATGGAGCTCTGCGCTTGTGAAGCACGAGACGGCAGGAGCCCTCGCATGCACGGCTGTCTGCCTCCCGTGAAGTTATAGCGGTGTAACGCATGTGCCGAACGCTTAGTGAGATCGGTCTGTGGTGTGCCGCGAAAATCCTGATTTGTTGATAGGGTCATGACATCACAGCCACGTGACCTCGTGTGGGAATTTCAAGCAACCCACAATGCTCGCGCAAAACATGACGTCACGCATGAAATGAAAGGGATTAAAAAATCTGACATGTTAGTGAATCAAAGGTCGCCGCATGCTTCAATTAACTCTATAAAGTAATCCATTTGCTTAAAAGAAAAATTTGAAGGATATTGGGTGGGATTCGAATTCACGACCCTTTGGTTGTGAGCCAGACATGCTTGCGTTGCTTGGGAACGAGCGGGAGTCTATAAGTTTCGCTATCGTGTTCCACTCTTCTGGGTATGCTGTGTTATTTTTATACCCTTCTCAAATAAATCCTGTTAGGATAATGTGCACCGTGGGGTATGTATGATATGTTTGATTTATGAGACTCGTTGAATTTCATACTCTGAGCGGAGAACACCCATGCAGTATGTCTATCATGTGTGGTCAAATATTTTCGACAGTTAAGATCATTGTAGGTTGACACTGCTGAGTGTATGGTGCCGTGAAAAAATCATAAAATGAAGCAAACATACCAGTTGCATTTGTTCTGTCACGCTTTCATTTAGCTTTATATTTGTTTGTTTTTGTTCCCAAAATAGTGCAATCCTTTCTTAAAAACCTCGAGAAACTTTATTTACCATAGAACAGGAAAGAAAAAATAAAACACTGCAATTTAGCCACTATTAGGATTTGGAATTGCCACAATTTTCTGACGAGAAAACCAAACCCATGCCCAACACTGACGTGCACTCTCAAAACCAAGGATGTGCACTGTAAATCGCTTTATTTGAGACTGCTGCTGGGAAGGTCTGCAATCGACAAATTTCCTGACCCCTGCACTTGTGCACAAAATATTACAGTTTCCTTTGTCCGTGCCCATGCACAAACTTACAGATTGCGGTTTTCCACGTCCCTGCGACCCCTGCACAAACTTAGTCCACGGACTCTCCCGTCTCTGGCCCCAGGTTCCCCAGGGGCCCCGCCGCAGCCGCAGCAAGAGGCCGGAGGCCAGTCGCCGTCCAACCAGGGCACTGAGAACCGGAACCCCCTGCCCAACCCCTGGGCGCCAGGCAGCGGGGGCAGTCCCGCTGGCAACGGGACGGGGGGACAGGCGCCCCCTGCGGGAGGAGTATTGGGAGGCCTCGGGGGTCTGGGTGGCCCTGGGACGGGGGGCGCCGGCATGTTTGGCACCCCGGGTATGCAGAGCGTGATGCGGCAGCTCACCGAGGACCCCAGCCTGATGCAGAACATGATGAACGCCCCCTACGTCCAGAACATGCTCCAGGCCCTGGCCGCCAACCCGGAGATGGCCAATCAGGTGGGCAGGTCTGGTTTTCTGTGCGCCCGGAATTGTGGTCATTGTTTGCTTCCTGTGCTCCTCTAACGCGTGGATTCTCAAGCTGGGTATCCGGGAATACAAGCTTTCCTCAACTTATCTTTAGGAACTCCCAGAGCTCTCGAGTTTCCTTGACTGTCTGGTTCTAACAGGGTGTCTAGCAAATTATTATTTTGAAATTCCCTGACTTTTTCAGGTTTTCCCTGACAATTTCAGGTGAAATTCCCTGACCACAGTAGAGGCGGTTAAATATATAAGACCATTACAACGCCAGACATTGGGCACTGTGAAGATCATTTTGCACGAGCTTAATCCAACTTGCATATTCCAAATTATTCGGGTTCGTCCAGCCCGGACTAAACATCCACTTTCTTGCCGCCGACATCGTCAGTGAAGAGGCCATTTTTTGAAACACGATAAAAAGATGACGCTTAACTATACACGTCAATGACCGAATGGCAGCGTGGCTGCCAGATGCACACTTGGGGATACTTTCGGCTTAAGGCTTGGATTGGGGTCTGCAGCTTTTCCATTTGGTACTAAATCTAGTAGCTCTAACTGGATCTAGCCCAGTGTCGTGCCCTCAATCCGATCCAATCCAAGGCTTGGAGTGGGTTTGTCGGCTGTTCCCTTTGCATCGGGTAGCACACTCTACATTGGGTGAGCAGAGCCTGCGCTCCTCTCTAAGCAGAATTTATTGCCTATTCTTCTGCCCCCAAGTCCTCAAGTCTTTGCTCAGGGCACTCGATGGCATTTCCGGCTCATTTTTTCTGACTGGGCTCACTTTTTGACAATATTCCTGACAATTCCCTGATTGAGCTTTCCCTGTTAAAGCAATATTTTAGCAGATGTAAATCGTCTACTGGTGCTTTTCAAACACTTCCCATTCCGGGCATTGGTGTTGACATGGCCTATAGGCCTCCGCACCGCTCTGTTGCACTAATGTCGAGACGGGGTCAGTCGAGTGAGACGGGTTTTCCTTGAGATAGAAAAGCTCGAGCACGTCTGCTCTAAAGCCTCCTGATGTGCTTGCCTTTGTCTCGCAAGTAGGATCAAATGCGCGAGGCCCATGCCTCAAGGAGCTCTTTGAAGCAAACGGCAGCACAACACGTGCATGTGGCATGTCTCACTCGGTTGCACAACAATGGTTGTCGGTACTCGTAAGAAACGCTAAACTTGGAGTTTGTCGAGGGGCTTTCATGTTCCTTGGCATCTGTACCAAGAGGACAGCTGAAGGAAGCTGCAGAATTGTGATCTTGCGGTTGCAACTTAATTGAAGTGTGTGAAACAGCCTTAAAGGGGCCGTGCAATAACAAATAATTGTAGGAGTTGTTCTCTGTCCCATCTGGAGTATAGAACTAAAACCAATTTTGCCTGTGTGCGTTAGTTTTTTTTTTTTTTTTTTTTTTTTTTTTAATTGTCAAACAAATAATGTTTTGGGCACCTCCCAACCACTCTCAAGTCTTACACCGTCTTCACAGTGACGTGTAGCAGGGTGCTCTGGGGCAGAGTATCCGGTTGGGTTCTCTTTATAGAGCCTCCAGCACACACTGCCTCTGCTTGCGATTCACATGGCGACCTTGAAGGTTAATATAAGCAATGTGTGAGGGGGGAGAAAAAGGGGGGGGGGGTGGTTGAAGAGCTTGCCTTGTCATAGGGAAGTCGAACTGACGTAGTAGTGACAGTGTGAAGCTTAAGAGGAATGGTTTGGTTCACCTCGGGCAGGTGGCGCCACTAAAACTGAATACAGTACAATTTTGTCAATGATATGAGGCTTTTGATGCATTCACTCGTTTTGAAACGGCAATGTTTATAAAAGGTAGCCTCAGTTAGATCAGTCACCAAATTGGCACAGCTTGCCAACTTATTACAATGCACCCAGGTTGCCTGCAAGTCGTGAAATATTCCCGTTCTTTGCTATGCTATTCCACAACTGAATTGCGATACTTCAAAAGATTGAGGCGGTTTCTTAATCCTTTTTGATAAGAGCGACGTAAAAATTAAGGACTGCAAATTCTTTCGAGGTTAATATCGTTGGATCGCCCATTTCGAAACGCAACCCAAAACTCGGCACTACCTATGAGCAATAAAAAAAATAATCGGCACTACCTATGAACAAAATCAGTATCATCAGCACCACCAGAGCTTCGCCCCAATCAACATCATTCACCACGTGGAGATGCGGTCATTTTTCTTCCGGGTGGCCGCGTCAACCACCCGGAATAAAAGAAAAAATATTTCATTTCTTCGGACAGAGTTGGGAGAGGAAGCACGGAAAACTCCATCCCCGCTCCCTCCACAAAAGAGATTTTTCTTTTCTTTCGGGCGGTCGACGCAATTGCCTGGAAAAAAAAAAAGAAAAGCCAGCTTGTTTTGCAAGCTGGCTTTCCCCCCATGCAGTCGCTCGCGTTGGGGGAAAGCCAGCTTGCAGAGCAAAACGGCGCTTTTGGCAGTTCCATATATCGGTTGCGGCTGCTATTTTTGTTCACTGTAACATTACTGTGCACAAGAATTGCTTGATATAAGGGATAATTCTATGTAAACGGGTTCGATATAGTCGGGTTTGACTGTATAGCCACGTGACTTCTGCCAACACTCCCCTTCTCTATATTTGTTCTTCCTCCCCAGTCCAGTTTCACTTTTGGTTTCGAGCAGTTGCTTTTTTTTTTTACTTGATTGAAAATATATGTGATAGTGTAGCAAAATATTGATCGGGTAGTCTTCTGACACCATAATGAATTGCCTGGCAAAGAATAAAACAAGAACTTTAGGGGCTGTCACTGTCCTTTTAATTTTAAGCCTTTTATAAGAAGACCTAAGAACAAACGCGTCGATTTGGTCACAAGATGGAGCTCTCATCTGCGCCATTTCTCTTCTCGTCCAGGTGATGGCCTCGAACCCTCTGCTGGCGGGCAACCCCCAGCTGCAGGAGCAGATGCGGCGCCTGATGCCCCAGTTCCTGCAGCAGCTGCAGAACCCCGAGGTGCAGGGGCTCATCACCAACCCACAGGCCATGCAGGCTATGATGCAGATCCAGCAGGGCATGGAGCAGCTGCACAGGGTGGCTCCCAGCGTCTTTGGGCCGGGGGGACCAGGCTCTGCCCCCACCACAGGGGGCACCGCACCCACGGCAGCACCGGGCTCCACCCCCAGCCCAGTCGGCTCCGCCCCTGGCTCTGCACCCGATCCCAGCCCCGCTCTCGGAGGGGGTGCCGACCCCGTCACGGACCCCCTGAGCCAGTTTATGGCGCGCATGATCAGTTCCATGGCGACGTCGCAGGCGGGGGCCAACGTGAGTCCCTACTCTGCTCTTGTGCAGAGAGTAAGTCGTCTGCTTGTTGCGGCAGCTGCGGTGATGTCGTAACGGCTCTGAGCTCAAGCGAATGAGTCTTGAGATTGCCTACTATTTTTTTTTTTTTTTTTTTTTTTCAATCAGTTAATAAGAGCTCGGCGTTCCGACGTCATCGCGACCCCTGTGCACTACACATTTACGTGTATCCAGCCGTGTGTGGCGATGGTACGGCGTTCAGAATGTGCCTTCAACCGGTCCATTTAGAAGACTTCCCACCCACGCATCAAGTGTCCCCGAAGTGACGACAAATAACGTTGCGGGAGCCGACGTGCCATGCCGCCGGATGTCGTAGTCCTGGCTGCTGTTTCGGTTGTTTTCATGCACCAAAAGCTTTTTGAATCAAGAAGCGGCGCGGTTCTACGGCAACGCCTGGTCGGTGATTCGATAGCTCCATGCCCTCGGTAGGGTTGCAAAATTTGGTCGCGAATGTAGGTTGAAATTATTTGGTCATGAATATTGGTCGACCCTTTAATTTTTGACATTTCCGAAACAAAAAAAGGTTGACTTATATTCAAATAAATACGGTATGTACATGGCAAGGGGTGACTATGAAGGGAGAGCGAAGATCATTGCCATTCTATACTCGGCAATGTTTGCTTCCGTGTCAAGTCGTTACTGCGCTCCAAAAGGAGCATGGTTTCAGGGAAATGTGGAAGTTATGCAAGGTTGTCTCTCCCGCAGAACCAGCCTCCGGAGGAGCGGTATCGGTCGCAGCTCGAGCAGCTAGTTTCCATGGGCTTCGTCAACAGAGATGCGAACCTTCAAGGTGAACATTGCAACTATTTCCAGTCATTGCACCGAGACACGCAACGCGTTTGGTTGTTGCGTTGACATCATATAGATAAACAAAATAACTTTCAGACCTTGCGATGATATTTTTGGGGATGGTTTTACATGAAAGGAGTGCAAGTGACAGGGCAACTGGCTTTTGTCATTGTGCCCTTAAGCCTTGAGGGCGGCGAAGGTCAGAAGTGACCGGGACTTTTGTTGGATGCACATTTTTGCACCAATGTTTGTTAAAATGTCGTGCCACAATCGGTGTGTTACGGTTGTAAAGCAGCACAAGCGTTTGAAACGCCCGAAGCAGATGATAGTAGAGTGCAAACGCTTGCACGGAACAGTTCAGAAATTTAGCATGTGGTCAGGTCGTGTGTATACAGTTGAAACGGCGAGTGAACCAGGCTCGTGCATTGTAGCCAGAGAGTCGATGCAACTATGAAAACCGAGTCTCGCTAGAGCGGGAAAGAGAAACCGACAGACCTCAAACACGTGCTGCTTGCAGGCAACAGTTCTTTGGCTGTCTCGCGGTCGCTTGAGCTTTACTTCATGCACTGAGCGATTGCAAGCCTGCCAAGGGTACTTTCAAGTGCGCATGGTCGAAGTCTGTCAGAGTCTATTGTTTCCGTTCGTCGCTCTAGCGGAACTTGGGCTTTAGGCACCCGCAACAAGCAGTCCCACTTCATGTCTCTTTTCCTTTTTTTTTTTTTCGTCCAGCGCTGATTGCAACGTTTGGAGACGTGAATGCGGCGGTGGAAAGGTTGCTGCAGTCGCAGTGAAGAGAAGACAAGAGTGCGCTGTGACTGCAAGGGGGAAAGGAGGGGGAAGAGGTAGTTGGGAAAGAGGACTCCTGGATTATTTTCACCCAGTGGGGCTCTTTGTATACATATTATAAATAACCGCCCGCACGTCCGTGTGCCGCCACCACACCGAGGAGCCGGACCGAGGACTACGGGTCAGCGAGGAAGCGTGCATGGCACCCGACCCGCGGCGTAAAACATCCCATTTTGACAAGTAATAGCAGCAGACGTACGCGTACATGCGCGACAGACTCAAGTGTGCGAGGGAAAGTGTGTATCTTTGCTGTCTCGTTTTTTTTATGTTTGCTTCCTTGCATCTTTTGAAGGACTGGGTACGAAAGGGTGGAAGAACAGCGGGTGGTTTCTATTTTGGAGTGGTCTGTGCTAGTTCTTTAAAGGGAGGAGAAAAGAAAATGTATGAATGGAGCAACAGCGTTTGCAGTAGAGAGGATGGAAGGATTTGTTTCCATTAAATGGCTGAACGGGAACAAGTCTTTGGAGCGACGTGTCCTGCTTCCTTATTGCCTTTTCGCTCTTGGTTGACGCATGCTTACTTGGGGGGTCATGACAGATGCGTTGGGTCAATGATGAAGGGCCATAATCGTGGCGGGTTTGCTGCAAGTACATCTAGAGCTGCCAAACGACTCGGAACAGAGTTTCTGCGAGGTGAACGTGGGACAGGGTAAGTAGGCCACATTCGTCTTGGAATGGAGACTTATTGCCCGCCATGATGTGCACAATCATTTAGCCAATACCATGTCCAGGCTAGATGCAAGATATTTGCCACTAAATAATTTTAAAACAAATGCTTCCTTTGCCTGCAGGCAGGAATGCATGCTTTCAAAAGGTTCCCATACTTGCTTCTGGTTCTTAATGTAATTATCAAGGTCATATTTGTTTTATGGATGTTTAGACAGTGGGAAGTGTTGTCTCAAGGGGCATCTGGTGTCTTCTGCAGGTGGGCAATTTGGCCTGTGCAGCACAACTGTGAACTGGGGCTCTTTGAAGGAACACGACAGAGTATTTATGCTCGCCGAGGTTTTTAGTTGTACATGATGTATGAGAGCCCAACTACCCAGAACACAATTTGCAGCTCAAAATTCGGTTTTTTTTTCTGCCCGAAAACCGCCGATCAAGAACTGGCCGGTTCGTGTCTCGCTCACACTCTTTTCTGTGGTCACGGGCCGTTTTCTAAGGTTTCGACGGACCACCAAATTTAATCAGTCGTTGGTCACTGAAGGCACACAGTCAATATTAAAAATAGAAAAAAAAAAAATTAAAATTTTTTGTGGCTTCTAAAAAGCTGCAAATACGTTGATTGAAAAAAAAAAAAAAAAAGTTCCAGAGAGAACCAGAAGCATCCTGTGTATGCGTCGTTTCGCATATCGTCGTGGGACTCGCGGGGACGGCGATGGCAGCGGACGACGGGCGTGGGACCTCTACTTCAGAACTGTCGTTCACAGTACCAGCAAATTCTGTCTGCTTTTAAAAGAGAAATTCGGGACTGATCAAAAGAATTGGTATTCATCCCGTACGACAGGCCTGACTACCAAGCCGATTTGCACGAAAACTTCACCGAGCTGTCGCTCCCTTCTCGTAGCTGAAGACATAGCTCGCGCAAATGTCAAGCACCGCACGAAGTGTGTACTTCGAGTTAAATATGCACGTACGATTTTACTAGATGCCAATGCGTGGTGCTGCCCGACTTCAACCCGCGAATGCTTTTGCTGGAGGAAAATCGGCAGCAAACTTTCCAACCTACAGTTGGCCGGCTGCATTATTACTAACGATAGTTTCCCCGGTAGCTCTGTGGAAAGATGTCCGCTTTAACCGCGGCGGAACCAGGTTCAATCCCTTGTCTGGGCGTATCCTTTTTTTAAACAATTTGCGATATTTACAATTATCACTGAAGCAACAAACGAATGTTGTGGACGAAACGTCGCTAAACTAAACGGTATGGTATTTCCTTTTTGACACCTGCGAACTCAATGTAATCACTTTCCACAATATGCAAAGAGCATATAAATCGGGTAGCATCCGCTTGTTGAGGTGCCCGTAAATGTTCTGCAGGAATTGCACGCGGCCATTGGTCCCGATCCCGTTGATCTTTCGAAAACTCTGTCGCACAATGCCACTTTTTCGGACGCAGGACATGTGAGCCAGCTCTTCACGCAACATCTTGGGTGTATTCTTTTCGGAGCTGATTATGGAAATTCACCACGGGCACTCGCTACTTATCTCCAACTCCTCAATGTACAAAACAACTCGTCTTGAAGTACAGAACAGCGAGTGGAACAAACATAAGTGCAAAAGAATTGCACGGCAAACAGTTCCCGCTACGCAGCCGCGCATGTCTGCTACGCAGAAGGGAAAAAAGAACAAAATGCATGGTCGGGTGTAGTTACGTGACTTCTGCCACTCACACTCTCCTCTCCACTTCTCTGACCTCCGTGCATGGGTTTCGGTTTTGAGCAGTTGAGTCTTTTGGCTTTATTAAAATTGTACGCTACTCTGTTGCAAAATATTAATTGGGTAGTCCTCTGACACCATAATAAAGCGCCTGGCAAAAAATTAAAAATTTTTTGGGGGGTGTCAGTGTCCCATTAAGCACTAGTGATTACAAAAATGCATGCCAGTACGATGCTTCCCTAGATCGAAAGAGGCAGATTTAATCCTGGACCCCTGGGAGCAGTGTGAGCTTTTGCTCCAAGTGCTCCGATCCACTCTGCACTAATGCACTCTGCCATCAATCAATTGCTATGTGTTTGGTTCATAAAAAGGTCTATAGACTTCTCAGGACAAGAGTTATGAAGGAATGCCTTTACTAGAGCATTCTTTATTCAAAACCTCTTTATAACTAAATGGTGCTGTCAGCTCCTCCATGTCACTTCAACTTCATCTGTCCTGTACCTGAAAATAAAAATATTGGCTCCTTTTAAATTGACAGTAGACATGTGGTTTGGTGGTTATAAGAATCTGGCAGTGGCAGTACTTAAAGGGTAAGAAGGCATTTAGCATTCATGCCTGTCAAGTATGCAATGCAAGAGGTTGCAAAACTCTCCTATCGTCAAAGGTCCACATTCCAAAATTTGTTTCGGGATATGGCAAAAAAATACCTAAATGCTCAGCATAACAAACCCCATTTTGAGTGTCCTAAAAGACTGTCTTCTAAAAAAGGGTCTTTAATGCAGTAGGATAAGGATGAAGGGGAGAGGTAAAACATGCAACCACTGATGGGCCTTTTCGTTGGTTCAATTGGGGATAAAAAATCTGCCAAGCTTGCACTTTCCTTCGTGTAAATATCCCAAATGCTGCTGTGTTTTTTTTGTTTTTTGTTTTCCCAGAATTAAATTCTGTTTTAAAGCTTTCATTATTAAAATAAAACCATACACAAACATTTTCACTCTAGATGTGGAACTAAAGACGTTTAGGTCTTAAACCTTTCACGGTAGTTTTTTTTTTTTTTTTTTTTTTTTTCACAAAGGATGCCTCCCAGTGGTTAGGTTTTGTTTCCAAAGGAATAGTAAGAAGAAAGGGTCTAGGTACATGTTTTTCCTTATTTATTTAGCGAAAGCACCTACAGGCCTGCAAGTGGTTTAGGTTTAGAAGCATCAAGTGAAACTGTCAAAGGCGAAGGGTTGCCATCTTCCGTTTGGTTTCACTTAGGCACGTATGCGTCCGCGACATTCCAGCAGCTTCAGACTACTAACCGGAGGTACTTTACAAAGCTTCACTCTTGTCCTCCAATTTTTTTTTTTTTTTTTTTTTTTATGCTTTGGAAGTTTGAATTAGAACAGCCAGTGCTGCCATTGGCACCACCGCCAAAGCGGCCGGTATGCGAAGTCAGCATCACGTGCGCGGAGTGTGTAATCTGAAAACTCAATAACCCAGCAAAGCGAAACGCAGTGCGAATGTTATGTCTATAGTTTGCCAAAGACACAACCAATAGCAAAACCTCCCATGCAGTTTCACATCTAGGTGGTCACTTTCAAACGTGTAATCCCCGCCATACTGTACACTTTCATCAGTGACGGGTGTAACGGAGTTCACGAACAAAACCCGCAGGGATAGTCAATCATTAAGATTTAATCCGGCGACTCGTAGGACAGCGACAGTGTCCTCGTCTAAGAGGCAATCCACCCAGAATGCACTTTCAAGAATTGTTTTCTTGACCTCATTATTCACTGTTTCCTACGTAGAATGCAATAAATGGCAATATGCGTTCTCTTTGGGGAGAGCAGACACATGCCTTGTTCATGAACAGTGGATCTATATATTGCTCTAGCTTGTACGATACTAGGGAAGCTTGTCGACCAATTTTCACGCCATACTTTTCTTTCTTTGGCCTCGACACGTGTTAATCTGTGTTCTTACCTCTGCGTGCAAGTTGTTTCCTCAAAGGGAGTCGTCTGGTTAGAGCGGAACATTTCCCAGCCTGCTTGTGCAATCATGGCTCCATTGTCGATGCAAAATCTGCACGGGACAATACCGTCAGAAGTGCAAGCCTAAACTAAAAAGGGCATCAACAAAGCTCCTCTAGGTGAGAGTAAAGCAAATGAAATTCACTCAACATGCATTTAACTACAAAAAGTGCACTGAAAAAAAAAAAAAAAAGTTATCACGAATGACATGATTTTGTGACAATACCGCTACTCGTCTGCCATATTTGTATGTCAGAATTAACAGGTTCTAAAGGGAAGAGATTTCTCTGGAGGAGGCGTCCGATGCCCCATGAACAAAGGTTCAGTAGGTACTCTTTTTTTTTTTTTTTTGCACAAACTAACATTCCCGTACGCAGGCAGCATGCACTTTCCATGTCCGCATTTCGAAGCACTGTTCTTGTTTCTGGTGACGTTTCACGTGACTCATTATTTTGTTTCGTAGATAGCTTTTGGGATAGGTTAGCCAAACCCAATCAAATGCAATTGGAGCAGATTATGCCTCGGGCTGAACAACTGCGGACACTGACCTCTCGTCTGTTGCAAACAGCTTGGCCTTGCGCTCCTCTGCCATGATCTTCATCATTTCCTGCAGTCGCTCGTTGCCTGGAGGATTGCAATTAAATTATAATCGAGCCAGTATGACATGCAGTCCAAGCACAAAAGACCATGTTGCGAGTGCAACTTAAAATCCCGAGATGCCCCACCCCGAAAAGGTAACCCGCCCCCATTTTTGGGTCGATTTGCTATTTTCAAAACACCAAAAGATAGCCCGCTCCTAGTAATAGTAGTGTTAGAATCAGTGATCACCTATGCATAAATGTGTCAAATTAGCGGGGGTGGGTTATAAGCGAACATTACCGACTGGGAAGTACACCCCCAGGCGATATGAAGGTGAACGCCGGACCGTCGACCGGTCCGTGCTATCGGCGCCATGACGCGGCTGCCGTGGCGGCTCGCTTTCTTATCGCGCGCTTCACCGAGAGTAAGTGCCTGGATCGAGCGCTGTTCTCAGCTCTGCTGCTACTCCCCGCAGAAAGCGCGAGGATTGGTGAAGGAGCCTTTCAGATGCTATCGGTAGACAATGTGATTTGGTAGTTTTTTGTTGCGATATGTGCTAAACCGGAAGGCTGCGGAACAAATCAAAAAGTAACTTATACTTTCCGCTTCTTGAAAAAAAAAGAACACGATTTTGTTTCATTCGTGTGATGTGTCAGCAACCGCTTCGAACCTGCGACAATGTTATATTAGCCACATTACAAAGAGGGCATCATTATTAATCTTTTTTGCGATGCTTAACACTTTGCAGTGCACGCCAAAATAATTTGTTAGAAGTTAGGGCTCTGCTGGAATGTGCATGCAAGCCCCCCTCCCCCCCAATTAATTATATATGACTTGCGATATATGATTCACGTTGCTGCATACTGAGGGCTATCATGGCGCAATGATTGTTTTATTAATTTTAAAGCATGTGTGCTTATGCCACAAGCACACGTCGATCGCGAACGCCATTAAACATAGGGCAGCTTGCAATTTCAACCATTCCTTTAATGGGATTCAGACTTCCGGTTAGGCAAAACATGAGGCAGGAACCACGTCCCCTTTTTTCTTCATTTTTGACGGTTCCAGTTTGACGTCTGACAATCTTTGTCGGATTTGAGCGGGGTCTTAGTATCTTAAGAAGTTTCCCTCTCCGTGAATTAAAGATTGAATCCTGTGCGGCAGACTTCCGTAGAAGTGGAGCACCAGGTCGTCGTCGTTGCACAGGTTGTTCCACTCTCGTTGGACGGCTTCCCAGAGTTCGTTCGGAGATGCTCTGTAAAGCTCTAGAGTGGCCAGTTTAGACTTTATGATGCCCCAGACGTTTTCGACGATATTGACGTCAGCGCCTTTGGGAGGCCATGCCCCGTTCAGCAAGAAGCATCTTGGTGGAACGGGAGGTGTGGATGGGACTCGGGTCATGTTAAAACCAAAAGTCTCTATCCGGAAAGGGCCCATCTAGGACATAGGGGATCAAGACGTGGTCAATTATGTCCGAGTAAACTACTGACGTCAGGCGCCCGTCGATCCTGAAGATGGGGCCAAGTCCTTGGCGGGATATGGCATCCCAGACATTCATGCACCTAAGACCTGCAAGGCAATGGAAGCGTTGTCTCCTTCAGTCACTGCTGAACTTGGCTGTCATTACGAAAATTAAAAAGCGCAAAAAACAAGGACAAGAGGGAGACAACACAGGACAAGCGCTTACTCGCAACTGACGTTTTAATTCGGAAGATGGAGAACCCTAACGTTAAATGTTAGAAATATTTATGAGAAAGGAGTGAAAGGATCTGAAAAGACTGAGAATTAAAAAAGAAAAAAAGGAAATTAGTAAAAACAATAGGAAATGGTGGGCATGATTAAAGTAACAGTGAAAGGAATGGCAGTAAATATATTAAGAAAAAGAAAGAGGAAGGTAAAGCAAATTAAGAATATCTAAGGAAAATATTTCATGTACTCTAATTCTTTTGGTGACAAAGTCACCGAAGGAGCACTGATGCAGGCGTCTCCTTTGGTCGCAATGACTTCAGCCTCAAGAATTTCTCGAGTTCGCTTATCTGGACACCTCCTCATGATCCTTGTGCTGGACAGTAGCGGGGCGCATCTACAGTCCCTCACATGTAGAGCCAGATGACCCGACGGAGAGGATTTTAGAGATAGCGCTTGTTCTCTGAGCCTTACGTTGATACATCTTCCCGACTGTCCCACATATAACCTTTCCACAGGTGAACGGGATCAAATACACTACCCCGCTGCAACAGTTGACGTATTTGTTGCCGTGCCTAACACTGCATTTGTCAGGCTTTGTGCGTGGGGTGTTTACTTTGGGGCAGAGCTTCTTAAGCTTGTTGGGGGCTGAAAGCACAACCGGCACTTCGTATTTAGAGGCAATTCTCTTGAAGTTATGAGAGATGCCATTTCTTTCACTGTTACTTTAATCATGCCCACCATTTCCTATTGTTTTTACTAATTTCCTTTTTTTCTTTTTTAATTCTCAATCTTTTCAGATCCTTTCACTCCTTTCTCATAAATATTTCTAACATTTAACGTTAGGGTTCCTCGTCTTCCGAATTAAAACATCAGTTGCGAGTAAGCGCTTGTCCTGTGTTGTCTCCCTCTTGTCCTTGTCTTTTGCGCTTTTTAATTTTCGTAATGTTTAACCAACTAGGCCAACAAATCATTTGGTTATCATTACTTCAAGTAAGGCTGATATTTGTTTGTAGTTTTCAGGCTTTAGCAGAGGGCGGGAAGCTTATAGCCGACCACTGATGATTTCTCCGAAAGTCTTGGTCACTGATGGCCTTGGACGTTGCAGGGGGAAAGATAAATCTATACAGTCTATTAGCTTAAAGATCTGATAAAGCTTATTGGAAGTTGTCAGGCCTCCAAACTCGCCTCTGCTGGTCTAAATGGGTGCAGAACGTAGACTCGTCGCTGAAGATGACGTGGGTCCAGTCCTCCACAGTCCAATTCTGAAGAAAATGGGCGAACTCGAGTTGCAGCTGCTTGTGCCTTTCCGTCAGCAGCGGCGACTGGCAAGCTACACGGCTGTGTAGGCCAGCATCGTAGACGCGTCTCCGAATAGTTGTGTCGCTGATCTCGAGTTCCAGTGCATCCCTGATATCGCCCAAGGCTGCTTCGAGGATGTGACAGTCCTCTGTTGCTGCAGTTGCGCGGGGACGGCGACGGTGGGGGGCATCGTCCAAGCGTCCATCGTCATCCCGAAATGCTGCAATAATCCTTAGGACGGTTCAGACGGGCCTTCCAACTCTGCGCGATATTTCCCGCCGTGAGTCCTTCCTAAGCAAGGACAACGATCTGGACTCGCTCATACCTTGGAACTCGGGCGGCATTTCTGCTGAAGCGCTCGAAGACGAACAGTGAACTGAAAAATAAAATTGAGGCAGCAGAAAAGCAGGCGGTGATTCGGTGGCATAACAGAGAGCGAGACTGACCGACTTTGTTGCAGGCAGCTGCTTATCTACAGTGCGGCACTATCTCGAAAGTTCGGCAAAGAAAGTTCGAGTGTTGCGCGCTCGGGCGAGGATGACCTGGCACTTTCAAGAACAAGAAAGCAGGGGGAAAGTTGCGTCTGGTGCGAGAATGAACGCGAATCTTCTAGAAGCCTGTGACTGAGCGGTGCTTACTCGGCCCTGCGGTCGGCAATATTTATTGCTAAATCACAGCCCATTTCACATTTGTTACAGTTATTAGCGATCGCTCATGAATGAAGCGGTTGAGTCACGTATAAACCATGCCAAACAACGTCCTCTCTAGTTCACGTGAAATGTGCAAATTATTTGCCGGCAATGACGTGGGCACGGCGACCACAAAAAGCGATGCCGAAATCGAAACCCACTTCCACCCACCCACTTCGATCCCGGCAGTTACTCTCGGTGAGTCGCGCGATAAGAAAGCGAGCCGCCACGGCAGCTGCGCCATGGCACCAATAGCACGGACCGGTCGACGGTCCAGCGATCACCTTCATATCGCCTGCGGGTGTAGTCATCTTCGCTTCATTGGCCCCTCGCTGCGATAACGAATTTGGCAGAAGCATATAATCTAAAAACAGCATTTTGTTTTTTTCAGTTTTTAAGGTCACATTGAAAGTTAGCCCACTCCTTATTTTCATCCAATTTGCTCTCAATTTTAGGTGGGCTATCTCTCGGAATATTACAGTAGCTGCACGGGACTGCACATGCTCTTATTGGCACAAAACAAAATGGCACTGTACACATGCCCTTATCGACACCTCATTTTGATTATTTACTTTTATATTGATAAGGCAGCAGCATGCAGCGAGTACCTATGTTCCCAACATTCTCCTCGGTACTTGGGTCATTGGACAAAATAAAATGATTTCTTCGGGATAAAGTAGCCATGACGCACATTGCGGTACAAAGGAACACTGATGATGAGCAAATTTATTATTTAAAGTTTACTTTTTAAATATCCACCTTATCTGACATACCAATAGAGCTTTGCTGCCTGCCATCCAAGTTCCCATAGCAGTTGGAAGTCGTAAACCCAGATTCTTTTCCGGGCTGTTAAATGGCGAAGTAGGGCTGTCTAGAGCATGCTGAAAGATGCTCGCCTAGGGAGATATCAGTGTCTGCATGCCTTTTCTACTATCGCGCGGCTCCTAGATGATGCAACACTGAAAGGTGTGCTCGCAATGACTCGCCACCTGTGCCCGCTGCGAAGGCTGACATTGCTTCCGGATAGGACTTTTGTCGTTTTTTTGGGTCTTGGTTTTGGTATTTCCGTCTCCTCGTGGTTTACATTTGCCAGAAAATGAAATGAAGCAGAATTTAGTTGTCTGAATTCTAACATCAGCTATGTCATTCTGACGAGTTTTTGCAGCTTTGTATCAGATTACCAGATTCACAGCAGATTACTCCTCAGTATTTACTGTAAACGACTTATTTTGAGCGGGCTCAATATTTCGCGATTTAGGTCAAAGCTGAAGTTTTGGAATAATTCGCAGGTTCTAATTTTCGCGACGCGGTGGGATCTCAACATAGATTCCAATATGTTTACATTTTACCGAAATTGTTCGCGGGACCTATTCTTCATGAATTGGAGGCAATTCGCAAAAATTAGGTCCTTGCGAAAATTGAGTTGTTTTCAGTAAGTGACCACATGTTCTGACCAAGGCAGACGAATGGTGCGTAAAGTGCACATTTCCGGCCGCCCAAAAACGAATACCGTTACAACAGCAGCAGTTCCTGTGCTGAAGCCAATAAAAACACTGTAAGATCTGATGAAACTGGCTAGTTTTTGGGGGGGGGGGGGGGGGGGGTTTCAGAGCAAAAGACTTGAAATACATATAAAGATACTGCAGTACGTACAGCCAACACCGCCGACAATCAGCACCTCGCTGGATCCAGTGTGAGCCATTGCACGCTCTGAAAAATGTTTTGGAATTGCCCACCACTGCTACGAAGAAAAGGCTCTCTCAGTGGCCCTCAACCTCTTGTCTGCTGAAGCGTTGTTGAGGAAACTGCAGCTTGTCCAAACAAAAGCTGACACTTGTTCCATGCATTGTGCATGCAAAGAACAATCTTAAACACTAAATATTAAAAAAAGAAAGAAATGTTATATAATAGTTTTGGGAAATTGTTTGCAACCTACCAGTTGTTTCTACAAGCATTGCAAAGACAGTTTCTTGCAGGGAGAAGCAGAGGTCCTCAGGTGTACATTTTGACTGAGACAGAAGGGAGTCTGCCTGTTCCTGATAATTAATAAAAAAAAAAATTTCATTTCATCCATGTTCTTTATTTGCATCAGCGAAATACAACTGCATCTGTGGAGGCAATCTTTGGTTCTTGAACTTTGAGGCAAGTGAAATAGTGTAATGAAGCTAAAGCTGTGGAAAAATAATTCCTGGCCTGGCAAGGGAATGCCTGAAGATAATTGGTGATACAATGCACATTTTTCATTGACTATATCTCTTCTTACTTTAATGGGTTTTATCAAGACTGTTAGAGCTTCGTTATCAGCTGTGTTCTGTTCTGATTCACACACCCATCATTCCTACGAGACAAATGGCATCTATCTTTAGGGCTGTCCTACCTCCAGTGTGTGCATGGTATAGCAAAAGACCTACTACCAGAAAAGACAGTGAGAAACTGTTAAGGGGGGGATGAGGAAGGGGAGTGGGGAACTGCGGGACATTCTCCTCATTCTAATCCCATAAATTGCGACGAGCCTTAATTCCCCACATTCATAATAAAAAAAGGTGAAAGCAGACTGGTTCAAACCTCAATGAATGACAGCAGTCCTGAAAACGACACATCCATGCCTTTCACGACATAGGGAAGAGGGATCAGCTTCTTGCCCCTGTTGATACAGAAGGATTTAAGTATTGGTCATCCCAAGTTTGACTTCCTGCTTACCTTTTAGCCATCTGTTCAATGTTGTACCCTGGACTAGGGTCATTTGAGAGCTGTAACAGCAAAAATATTGTGACGAAGCAGTCCAATACAACACTGGAGCACTAGTGCACGCACAGTAACCGCACTCCAGGCATCGTGTGTGGTGTTCAGCCGGTATTTAATCATTCAAAATGAATGGGAATATTACACTGATGGAAGCGGCATTTGACTTCTTGGAGCAGGTTCTGTAGCAGGCAAAACGTTGGTTTGGAGTAGCCACTGACGCTTTTGGAGCGGATGCAAACATATGTTAGCCCGGGCCGGCCTTGCACCGTCAAAAGCCCCAAGCAAGCTCCGACCGCAGCCCCCTCCACCCTTTCCCCTTTTACATGTCCCTATTTACTATAGTTGTTTGATTTACTTTCACCTCCTGTACCGGCGCAGAAAAGTGCAGGGTAGTCTACTTCCCGTATGTGTATTGAGATATGACCGGAAGTCCACTGCCCTACACTTTTCTGCACTGGTGAGGGAGGTGCAAGTAAATCGATCGCAGTTTATGTATGACATCATGTTGCTAATAAACATGCGAGTAGTGGCCCAGCATGAGCGTTTTGTCAGATGAGAACCACATTCCAAAAACGAATGACAATCCAGCATAAAGTGTCGTGTCGGGCGCAGTGTTAAAATAAATAAAAGAAGCTAAAATAAAATTCAAAAGGGGGTCACTGTGCATGATGATGATGACGACGCCCTGGGCGACCGTTGAGGTCGCACCACCTAGGGCCAGTACTGCTGTTAGCACATCATTTGAGAGTAAAACAATTGCATCACTTTAATCTGCGATAATGAGTCAGGGTTCCTCTTTCATACTGGAGTATATTATACGTTACCTTCTCAGGGGTGGAACTCATGAAATTTACTTGAGAGCGGCCACGGGAGCAGCTGAAACAGCTTTTTGGAGCAGGTTGGGAGCAGCTAAAACAACGTTCTGGAGCAGGCTAGGAGCAGCTCAGATGAGTTTTCATTGCACTTCATCTTGTGTCTTAGACAAGCACGGGAGCAATTTCAATTGTGCTTAGCAGCACAGATGAACCTATGTTAGGGACCTATGTAGATGGGATAACAGTGTAACAGATGCGAAAACTTGAAACTTTGTGAGCCTTAACGAGAATCAAAAAGCAAGTACTCTATATTTCTGAAGATAGCGTCCTTGATATTTTCAGAGTGGCTTTCAACTGCTCAAAATGCGAACCAGCACTGCTTATCGCACAACCCACACATGCTCGACATAGTAATTTTATGTGCGAACCATGTGACGTGCGTAAGCAACGGATGCGCAGTTGCACGGAGGAACAGGGCAAAAAATTTTGAGTTTATCCTATCGTGCAACTCAATCTGGAAGCAGCAGACTATGATTAACAAAGTTATTGTATTTGAAGCGATAAGCAGGAGCAAGGTTAAAGTACGCCGAGCAGATGTACCGCTCGCGTAAGAGCTGCTGGCCGGCAAGGTTTCGGATCGGACCGGGTTTCAGTTCTATCAAATCACGATTTATCTTGCGAGAATGCGGTTCCAACTTCTAACAATGAAGTACTAAAAGGAATATTTTGCTCATTTGCTTTCAAATGGATGACGTTCAGATCCTAGGCCGCAGAGCCTCAGGCAATCTGACGCTTAACGACTCGACCTCACCTCGGCCGACCTGCTTAACCGTTTATGGTTGAAGAATAACAATCCAGTCGCAGGCATAGGTCGGCATTTTAAGCTGTCCTCACTCAAACTCACGATCACTATTTTTTCCTCAATCAGAACTCACGCCCACTCACGATCACGATTTATTCAAAATAGGATCATCACCCGGACTCACCCTCACGGCTCAATGCAAAACCAAAACTCACTCGCCGTCATCATCACGGTCGTCACGCTCACAGATCATCATGGTCATCACGCTCACAGGTCATCACGAATCATCAGACTCACAGGTCATCACACGCACAGTTCCTCACGGCCCTCACACTCACAGGTCATCACACTCACAGATCCTCACGGTCCTCATACTCACAGGTCATCACGGTCCTCACGGCACTCACACTCTGAGCTCCTCACGGTCCTCACTGTTACAGGTCATCATACTCATCACACTCACAGGTCCTCACACTCACAGCTCCTCACGGTCCTCACACTCGCAGGTCCTTGCGGTCCTCACACTCACACATCCTCACGGTCCTCACACAGGTCTTCACGCTTATCACACTCACAGGTCCTCACACTCACAGGTCACCACGCTTGCCGGTTGCTTTCTTCGTGCTTTTCTTTTGTTTCTCTCAGGCCTTTGGTTTGTCTTCGCGTGAGTCGTGCGGCGGGAAAACTTCTGAGCCACTAATCCAATTTGAAAGAAATGTACTATGTTAATGTTTATGCTCCGCACATTTCTACCAAATTTCGTAAACCTGGATGAATTACGAAAGAAACTAAATGCAAGCTGACTAAAGTGGGTGCGTTTAACTTTCGCCTGCTGACAAGGGCGGCGGGAAAACAGAAACGCGCCTTCCGACAGGTTACACAGACAATGTCGCAGTGATTAGAACATCGCCTCGCTGTGCATACCTCGCTCATTTGTACACAGATAAACAATTACTACATATATTACCTCCGTTTCTTTTTTTGTGCCACCCACAGGTACTTCTACGGAAGTTTATGCAGAATGTATATATAGGAAACATATGGGCATCGACCCATATTTTTTTTTGTGTGTGTGTGTGGGGAGGGGGGGGGGGGGGGGAGAACGGTTATATTAGGTAGGGTGGTTGCACGTGACGACGGTTTGAGATCTCACCATAATCCTTGTTGACAGTGGTGTCTGTCAGTCGTATGCTATTCTATGAACAGAGGCCGCGGTGGCCGAGTTTTCTTCTCACTTGAGATTGCTTCTGATTTTGTTGATCGACCGTGCTTGCCGGAGTAGGCTGCGATTTAAGGAGAATCATCGGCTGGCATTGTTTTTCAGTCATCTCGGCCTTTATAAAATACTGTCAGCATTCATTATCTTGATACATGCAGCCGTCCTTGAATTGATTTCGTTTGGATTGGTTTGACTTTGGCATGACTTTGCTTGGTTTGGTTTGGGGTGGTTTGGGGGTTTGCGGCCGTCCCCGCCTCTGGCCTCTGGTTCTTTGTCGCGCTCTCGATCATGTAGGGCGCGTCACTTTTCATGTGGCAAGCCGCGTCATTCTTGACACGCAGTTTTATAATGGGCAATCAGTTCGTCGAACAAGGTTTCATGGACAGATTGTTTCATCGACACTGCGATGTTTCATCGGCAGATCGTTTCTTCAACATTTGTTTCATCGATGTGTCATCCGAAGATCGTTTCTTCGACATTCGATGCTCGACAGAGCTTATTACTCAGCCACCATATTACTACATTTCGTCGACACTTTTTTTTGTTCGTTTTGTTTTACTCGTACGTCTAACGACATTTCTCATTCTCTCTCTTTCATCGACGCGGCGTTGGCTCCTTGACGTCATGCGTTCTTCGCGTGTTCGCAGCGCACTACGGTGTCCGCTTCGGACAGGGCGCAGGTGGCGCAAGCGCAAATGCTCCTCACTCTTTGTACGCACGCAGTGCAGTGTGCTGTGCGTGGTGTTGGCTGTGCGCTTACGTCGCTTACGTTGCTGGAGTGGTGCGTGCGGCGCGGCGGCCTTTTGCACACGTATGACCGTTTGGCCGCGTGCTCGGCCTGTCTAGCGGATATTGGTTTACGAAAGGAGCGTGCCCTATAGGGGGGGGGGGGGGGGGGGGGGGGGGGGAAACTGAGGCTCGGAGCTTGGCAGCCAGACGGTCGGACGTAATTGTTGCTTTCTGTCGTGCTTTTGGCCGCGTGCACACTTGACGCTCGCGAGATGCTGAATCGTTCCAAACTTTTTCTAAAAGGAGTTTTTCTCGACGCAGTGGTGGCTTAGTATACCGCTCATTTTTTGTAGCGTCATGTGAGGCTTATTTTGTGCCCAGTAATGCACGCGAAATTCCAAAACTGACGTTTTGCAAGTGTTCCGAGATAGGTAGTGACGTAGAGGTTAATCTGTCGGTTTCGGTAGTCTTTAAAAGTCCAATGAACGAGGTATTTGCATTGTTATAGAGTCGGAGCATAAGGAGTTTGAGCGAATATAGGGGGCACTCCGATCGATCCAACATGGCGGAAAAGAGGGGGATAGATTTGCGGCGCCCGTAGATCGGTAGCGTATAAATTAAACAAAGCGTGCTGTTCTGTTTGTTTACGTGTGCGAGACGATCATCGCTTCAACCAAGACCTACCGTGATGCTACAAATGAAGTGTTCAAGCCAGTCGAAGGCAAGCAATCTTGCCATAGTCAAGATATGTGTGCAAGTGTTCGACGTGAGCTCTCACCCTGGTGCAGCTGTCATCAAGTTGAACCGAATGTACTTGGGTCCAAAGAAAGGTGCACATCAACAATGTTGGCGCGTTGAAACTATGACGCGTACTTTATCTAAAACTAAACTTATCGGTCTGCGGCTACAAACATTTTCGTTGACGTTGCTTAGATGAAGTAACCATTCAGGCCTCGCATTAAACGGTGTTGCGAACTCTTCGGCTGTTCTAGTTAATAGTGCTAAAAAGCGGTTGGATGGAAAGTATGACAGCTACAGCATACAAGGGACGTCTGAGGTCTTTATCCTGCGTTCTATGTATGGAAACATCGGTATCCTTGGTGTTATATTGCGATCAGCTGGTCGCCAATCGTCCTGTTTTTATGCATAATGTAAACAAGCCCCGGAAGCGCCAATCTCATTTCGATGTGCTTGTGCACCCCTGCAAGCCTCCTTTTGGCTCTTGTGGAAAGCTTTATTGTAATAGCAATAGTCTCATCGGCCGTTCGAGTTGTATGTACCACGGTGATATCTGCTGTGTGCGATCTGCAAAATAAACAAGTCTGTATTAAATGCCAGAAAGAGAACAAAGGTAAAGCTTTTTTAACTTTTTTTTTCTTTTTACAGAAGAGGGCAAAGCTTCTGAAACAAGAGCAACCTAAGCTGATATTTGAGTGTGCT